GTTTACATCGAATCATAACAGTGTCGAACAACGTGGACCTTGACATTCAAAATTAGGAGGCAAATTTTCTTGTTTACACTGAAAAATTACCAAATATTAAAAAATATATTATGTAGACATTATAAAGATTGTGTAATATTGTGCACGTGCAATCTATTGCATGGTATACGATTAATATATAATAACTTGATACACAATACAACGTAATTATATCTGATTTGCTGCCTTTCACACGTTTACAACATTATTCATGTTTCTCGTTAGAACCGCCGTTTTAAATTTCAATTCGTTTCTGACGACGACGTATTCTCGAAGGAATTTTCATGAGAAACAATACGACTAATCTGTTCGGTAATTTGCTCGACGTAATTAGCCGACGGTGATTACCGCGCATAAATCCATACGCGATACGTGCCGGCAAAAGCAACTCAACTGGCATCGCTCTGCATACCGAATTGCGTTAATTTGCGCAACGACAGAACTCGGAATCGGTCTAACTAAAAAAAGATCTGTCACGAATTCGATATTGTCGTTTCTTTTTTCCTTGCCGTCACGCGAACGTGAACGTTTCCAAGAAAGACGAAAAAGCCGCAGAAAAATGTTTCCAATCGTCGAAAGAGATAAAAGAAAAATACGTTTCAAAGATTTATAAAACGCCAAGAAAGTTTTTTAAGTTGAGTCGGATTAAATAAAATTTTAATGTTAAACAAAAATACACAAGGCTATATTTTCGGTCTTTCGTTCTCGAAATTAAGAGCAGAATTAACGGCGAGAACGCAAATTCACACATTTTTCCCCGACGGCACACTAAATTCTTAGGCTGTCGCTCCGATATTCACTGTCAGTCACTGAAAATCTACAATGTGCGCGACGCAAACTATAGATTTCGAGCACTGCCATGGTGAATATCGGAACACACAAACACAGCCTTATTCGCGAGAATAATTATTTCCTCGAAATTATTTGCGTTCCTGTTCCGACGGAACGCACAAGTCTCCGCAAACTCGTTTCGTTCCGTAATACGCGACTCGCCGGATAGCGACGGTGCCGACGGCCGAATAGTTGTGGTGATCTGATGATCTGAATCCTCTCCAGCTCTATCTCTCTCTCTCTCTCTCTCTCTCTCTCTGACCTCCGGTCTTGCGAAATAGAGCGCAATCACGCGAAATGGAATCGCGAAACGGTATTACGCGCCGGAACTGCCGAATTACGTAATTCGTTTTCGTGGCTCGCCCGGTGGTGCCTCGATCACAATAACGCGAGCGATTTCGCCGTCCGATAAACCGCCGGATTTCGACCGTCGACGTCGGACAGGGAATAATAGGCCGCCACATTTAGAGCGATCCGTCTCCGGCGTCATTCGCGTCGTCCGTTTGCTTCGGTTCGCTCGCAATGTCTTGATTTCACAGGAAATCATATGACGCACGGCGAACGAGCGATGTGCGGGAAAATTCGGTGACGACGATGGTTACCTTGAGTAGCTTCCTCGAAGAAGACTGCGAGCTCCGAAAGACGTAACGGTGACGAGAAAGGAACAGGAACTCGCCGGTCGGCCGGTCTCTGAGAACGTGAGAATCTTTTGGTATCGACCGCTGCATATATATACACGAAGAAGCCGAGCGGCGTCGGGGATCGTCGCGACATCTGGCAGTCGGCCGTTCTACCGCGTGAACTTAGGAACAAATAGGAACAAAAGAGATCCGAGGTTCGTCTTGCACTTTGCACTTTGTGCACTCGCGCGTTTCGCCTCTCTTTCTAGTTTCTCCCCGAGCGCCCGCGAGCGCATCCATCTCTTTTCGGGTGCGAAGTACTGCGAAGAAAGAACTGCTAGGGAGTGCAAGCAAAACAAAAACCTTCGGGCTTTGCTCTAATTAGATATTAGAATATATTGTTTTGCATCTCAAACGAGACGAGTCATTAATCGGAAGAAAAGAGAGGGAAGTTTGTGAAAAGTGCAGATACAGGAAACAGGGTGAGCTCTCTGTTATTTCGAGGACAATGGAAATCGGTTGAGAAATCCCCAGATTAATATTCCTTCGGTTGACGTATGAAACGCGAGAACGGCTGGTCCCCCGCGCCGCGGGTCTCGCGAGAGAGAGCTGGGGGGAACGAGCCTCCTGAAGTTAGCCGCACTGATATTTACCTACCGGGCGGATAACAGCGGATGCAGTGACGCCGGTGACAGGTGACCAGATTTGTTCGAGTATCTTGCGACGTTTGCTCCGAATTTACGTCGCGGCCGGATTCCATCAGACTGCATTTCGGTTCGCGTGCTCTGGCGTATTTACGTTTTACATCGTTTGAAGAAAATTACGTTCGTCGTACGGTTAACGACAGCTAACCTCTCAGCGCACGCTATCGTTGTCGGAAAGTTATCGCTTAAAGGTAAGTTCTCTCGTCGCTATTGTTTCCTCATTTTAATTTGCCTTGAGAAGTTGAGTAAGAATTTCTTTAAAAAATGATGTTCAAAAATGTCGAAATGACGAAATGTCCTTCCTTTCCTTCATTTTCTCCTTACACAAATTAGCATGTCTCTTTATAGCGCGCTATAATCACTTTGCACAAGAAAATAATATAGTGAAGAAAACGTAATAATAACAATAGAGTGAAGATGATAAATAGTGAAGACTGAAGAGAAACGTAATAATAAGTACTAGAGTGAAGATAATAAATAAGAGAAGACAGTCGGGGATGAATAAAATCGCCGTCTCGTAAACCATAATGTGTCGTACGTGCTAATTATTTCTGCGTTATTTGCTCTTTAATAACAACAATCTGTATAAATAATACATCTTTTGCGTTATGCCGCGACATCGAAATGAACGATGCTATAGCGAACGTGTTTCTACGCGCGATTCCGCGGCGTCGCGTCGCGTCGCCGCCGCGGATCCCGGGCGGGATACACGATTCCGATATATAAATAACACGCCAATTACATCTGCGTGTGCGTTATACCTCTTATCTGTAAGAATGCATAATATACTTTTTGGCACTTACTATAATAATTAATCGAGACCTCGGGAGGGGTGGGGGGTGAAAGGGAGGGGGATTTCTTTATTGAACGTTAGATCGCGTTAGGCTCGATTTCGCGAGAAATTCCTCGCACAATCCCATCCTTTTTCTCTCGCTTTTCTCTCCTCCGTTTTCCCCGAACTCCGCCTTAAAGGTCGTTTTCGAAGCGAATCTTATATATAGGAGAGCCGATCTCTTTTTCTCGCTAGAGAATGTCCGGGATAGTTCAGTACGTGGTGGTGCGGGGAGATCTTATGAGGACGATGGGGTGGCCGTTGGGCGCCGTGGTCGCCCAAGCGTGTCACGCGTGCACCGCCGTTGTCCATCTCTTTTACAACGACGCCCACACGCAGGCCTACCTCGCCGATTTAGACAACATGCACAAGGTGGTCCTCGAGGTGAGTATATTGACTTTCGCGAAGGGAGCTCTTGAGACCCTTAAAGGAAGCTTAATCCGCGAGAGGATCGTCCGCTCGACGAGCGGTTGCATGCGCAGGGAGAATTAACTTTTCAAATCGTTATCTATTTTGTCCCGTGTAAAATATTTTCGGTCGCTGGTATAAGAATGCCTATAGTCGAAAAGCGGCGAAGAAATCACGAGTAATGAATAAATAGGCCGCCGATGAAGCCGATCTGCGGAAGCTGTGCGCGAAATTGACGGAGGACGACATTCAGCACAAACTGTGGATAGAACAGCCCGAGAACGTCGCGACGTGCCTGGTGACGAAGCCCTACCCCAAGGACAAGGTGCAGCCGTACCTCAAGAAGTATAAATTACTCAAAATGTGACGGGTATAAATGGTAATAAACACCCGCATTACGCGATGAAGAACGGAATATCTCGAGTTACTTTCCACGTTATACGCTTGAATCCAAATTAATCCTCCCGCCGCATCTGGGAGAAAATCCAGCCCGTCTGTGGGGAAAAAGATCTCCGGAAAAATTTTGCACGGCCGTGATCGAACGCGATAACCGAAAGATCCGACAGGCTCTGAGAGGGCTCTACAGATGAGATACGACTCTCCGGCGCTCGCACGAGATAAATACCAACCTCGGAACGGGAATGCCATTTATATTTTACTCTATTCGTGCGGGGAGGATCAATGCGCGCCGGAGATAAGCCGCGCTCTACGCGCGTAGCCTTAGAACACGTAGCGTCTGAACGTCGATACTGCAACGGGCAACACCTCGGCATTATTTGTTTCTCTTCTTCGTTTTCCCCTTTTTTCCACGAGCGACGTCGTATGGAAAATATCCGCGCGTGGGGGGACGGGCCACGTTCGGGAGAGACCGAAAAAGAAAACGGCTGCGGGCTGCGAGACGCCGCGGTCCGATATTTCTGACATCGGGAAGATATACCCTCGCTGATGATTCATTCCGCGATGTACCTCGCAGGTATCGACAACGCGCGTGCCCTGCGTTTACGCACAGTATACTAGCGTTAAAATATATGATTCTAATCTAGACGGGACGGCGCGCCGCTAATCAACTAGTCGTATCAAAAAAACTCCCTCCCGTCGCGCGAGTCTACGGTTGTTCTATCTATGTGGTAAAAGTACGGCGAAGCTCGTCTCTCTTCACAGGTACGAATCGGCGTCTCTCCCGCGGGATTAGCTGAAAGGCGGGCCTGACCGCGCGCCGGGATGAAACGCAATTCTTCAGGAATATTCCCGGATGAATATCTTGATATGGTCTCGCATTTTTTCTTTGTTTTGAAATTTTACGCAAAATGTTTGCAAGACGAAAAAAAAAGAGAATGAAAAGGGGGCATTCGAAACGCGCCTCAGGCCGTGGCTAAGAGCTAATCCATCGGTTGCGATTTTTTTCCCACTCTTCGTTCGTGTCTCGTAGCTCTCGTCTCAAATCCGCGGAGAATACGTCGCCTTCCACGGAGAATATGTCGTCGCCGCGAGACTCGCATGAAGAGCGCGAGATCCTTCCCCATCTCTCGACACCATCACGTTCGTCCGCGAGATGATGCGTCCTTCGCGCACTTCACTGCGATTCTTTCGGGATTATCCCTCGTCTCCGACTTTGCCTCCGGAGGTCTCTCCGCGGTCCTGCGACGCAGTCCCGACGTTCCTCCGCGCGAGAGGATCGTCGGCGAATCTCCATCCCGGAAGACTCCTTCCCCGTCTTTCCTCACGCACGGAACACGGAGAGTATCGATCGCGGATCCGTCACCGTATACTTTTTGTATGCATGTGGGTATGTGTGTGGTATTAGCCGACGATACCGACGACCGTCGTCGTCGCCGATACGATCGTAGATTCGCAGTAAGCTCTAATTACTTATGTACACGCACTGCGGACGCTAGACACTGTAAGTACACATATTTACAACACTCTCGATGGCAAGATGATTATTTTGGCGTATATATAATATGTATATATATATATATTTGTTTTTTTTTCTTTCTCGTAACGCGGTCGCAACGAGACGGAGGCGGGAACGGGAGGGTATACAGAAGTCCTTATGAAAAAAATGCGCTATTGTCCTTGCAACATCACTGCCGCTCGTTCTCCACCTCCTCCCCATCCTCCTCCTCCTCCTCCAGCCATTGGCGCAGGATGTTGCTCCTCGGCTGCAAAAGCAAAACGGACAGTTAGTCCACCGTTTCCTTTTATTCTCCGCGCAAGCAAGCTCGAGATCGTTTATTCCCGAATGGAAAATCGTCTCGATGCGTCCATTGGGGCGCAAGACAGAAGCTAGAGAAGAAGATCTAGCTGCACTTAGATTTCTAGAAATCTTTCCGAGAGTCTGCCAGCTTAATTTCGAGACGTAGAGAGTCGTGTGTGGAGGAGAGAAACGAGCGAACAAGCGAGCGGGTAGTAACATGCAGACAGCTGTATAAGCAATAAAATCTTGGACATTGAGTGTGAGATGTTCTCATTTAATACTTCTTTTCTTACGAACTCTAGTATCTTTGGATGGTCTCCAAATTTTTTTATCGCGTTGCATTAATAAATTACAAAGGGACACAGAAAAAAAAGGAATATTCTTGATTTGAAAATATCTTTAGTTTCAACGTTGGAAAAGTTGGAAATCTTAAAATGAGATTATATTGCGTTAAACGAAGAAAATTTTCTTGAATGAAGTCATTATATAGTTCAAGAAAAAGAATGTTGAAATAAAAAGTTGAAATTCTTATAAGAAGATGTAGATTGTTTCGTATATACGCAAGATTACTATAATCTTCTTATAAGAATTTCAACATTTTATTTCAACATTCTTTTTCTTGGTTGAACTATATAATGACTTCATTCAAGAAAATTTTCTTCGTTTAACGCAATATAATCTCATTTCAAGATTATATATTTTTGCGTATATATGAGTATAAACAGTGTTGATTTAACACTTCTTTTTTTTCTGTGGATGGGAAAGAATTCGCGTGCTGTCTATAACTACACATACATTTGGTAATGAATAAAAATTTGGAAGCCGTTGATTCTGGATACACGCAACATAGGAGTTCGTGATTACGTTGATATGGCAAATGAAAAATATGCGAGGGATTTGCGTCTAAAGAGACAGGCTTAGAGATTCTAGTTAATTCTACTCGCGCGCGGCAAATTCCGCTAGGTTTCAAACACACGTAAAGCAACGTTTTGTCCTCGGTATCGCAACCGATACCGATAGATATCGCATTAGGAAGCGGTGAGCGCAAATAAGATCTCGACAGCGAGACCAAGCTGTCGACGAGCATCACATTGCGTTAGTATTATCACGGGATTCGCAATTACCGGGGACCACGTTAGTTTGGGAGAACGGGGTGAGACGAGTGATGAGGGTGGCAGTGGTGGTGATGGTGGTGGTGGTGGTGGTGATGGTTGTCGGTGGTTATTAGTGCAGCGCACAAAAACGAGCATTATTGCTCGGCTAGGTTCCCGTTCGGGTCCGTATAGTCCTCGTACTCGTCCTCCGGCTCCTCGTAATCCGTCTCCGCGGGCTCAGGACCCTCGATCGCCGGCGTGGACGTGCTCGTGACGTCCTGCTAAGCACACACCAGAATCCAAGCATACTCCGCCACTACTACTACTACCCCTCTATCCCTTTTATCTCGCGTTCGGTGTTAGTAGACTATTAGTGTCCGCGCTGTTGTTACAATACCCCCGCGGATAACTTGCATTGCAAAGAAGCACCGTTTTTGCCCTCGGATAATCCGACTTTGCCGAACAATACTTGCAGAGAAGTTCTATTAATGGTCAATCGATTAACTCGAAATCCGCGAAAAACTCGTGGAGCATTCCTTCATTTTATTTCTCTATCGCGCCGCGAGATAATTGGCGTTCAATGGAATACCTGGTGCATTTCTCCCATCTTGCGAAAGCGACTCGTTAATTTTATCGGAAGCTGCCGTACTACAACTGCCAGTGATAATTGATAAATTATATCGTTATAAATCTGAGATATTCGTAAAAATTTCGTAATATATCTGTGTACATTTGTCTCAATACTTCGTTAATTTACTGCGCTACGAGTACGAGTCGAGATTATACACGGGGGGGCGTAACTTTTATTCCCACAATTCCTCCTGCCCCACAAACTCCGAAGCAAAATAAAGCTATCGATTACCTGCGGTGGTCTCCAGCCGCAGCCCGGTAAGGGGAGTCCGTCCGGTCCCAGCGGACACGGGGCATCCAATCCTGGAACACCTTGATCTCCCTTGTTGCCCTTGTCGCCTTTTCTGCCGCGTTTACCCGGCGGCCCCTGCGCGCACACGCGAAATGCATCATCTCTCTGGACAGCGCGAAACACCCGATGCAAAGTAACGCGACGTGCAAATAAGGCCAGGCATAATATTGTTGGATTATGCATTATAGTACTTGATCGATACGGTGCAACAATACCCCGACGAGTACAAAGAGCGAAGGTGAGCCTGTCGCGGGTCGCACGTTTAATTATAACGGATTTTTAATACTGATAATCACTACCGTGTAGGTCTTTTTTATTCCTCGGTGCCGACCGTGCCCTTTTGACTTAATTCGCTAACATTTACCGGATCGCTGAGGCACGATCTTTTCTGTCATCAAAGCTGAGAGAGAAAGAGACAAAAAGAGAGAGAGAGAGAGAGAAAGAGAGAGATAAAGGCGACGGCGACAGCGCTCCCGTTGGCGCTTCGTTCCTCGAGCGTTTAATGTTAGCGTCTCTCTAACATTATTCGCGCCTCGTCACTATACGTTTTCGCGGAACGGTGGTGGCAGCATATATATATATGTATATATTTTTTCAAATTTCTATGCACGCGTAAAGTATGTTAGTCTCATGTGGAACTTGGTGGGAGTGGTGGGCGGTGTGTGAGGATATTCTCCTCGTGTTCCTACAACTAGTGCTTCCTCCGCTTCCTACTTTTCGTGACCTTGTGGCTCCGCGGAGATCCCGCAGTCTCCTCGTCGCGAACGACGACGATGACGACGACGACGACGACGACGTCGGCGTGGGCGGCACGGAGGAGAGAGTCCCACCGACGTGCTTGCAGCAATAGTCGTGAATAAAATATGAAGTACGAGGATGCGAAAGGACGAGAGTCGCGCGCGACGATCTTGTTTGCTCAACGGTCACGAAACTCGATATACGTGCTTCCCACTCGTTCTAATTCAAAACGTGGCCCCGGAATCGAGCTAATCAAGCGAAGTCCCGAAGACGTTGCGGAGCCAACGACGGTAATTAATTTCGCCCCCGCGCCGTCGAACGTCCGACGTCTCCGACTCGATGACTTTGACAAGTAAGGTAAACTAATCGACTAATGCGAGGATCCTCCGTGTACGAGAGTATTCGCTAACTTGCCAGGACACGTGCATATAATTGTACGTCCGTTCGGAGGCGAGCGCAGCATCCGGATACAGCACTCTTTTTCGCGGTTCATCAGTTATCTCTCGGCAAATAATCCCCGTAAAGCGTACGAGCGATTTAATCACGCACGATCGCTTTCGCATCCTCGCGAGAGAAAAAGAGAGAGAGAGAGAGAGAGAAAGAAAGAGAGAGAAAATGACGATATAACTCTGAGTAGTGGATCGCGCACAATCGGCGTCGCGCGGCGGAGCACGCGCGTCGAGAACGTGAATTACTCGAATTAAGTCAATACTCACAGATTCGCCTTTGGCACCTTTCTCTCCCTTCGGTCCCTGGAATTGGTGAACACGGGTCAAAAGGAATTTATTCGGTAAACGTTGGCCGTCGTTTTTGCGCGCGCGAGACGCACGGTCGTTCCAGAAAAGAAGCGGTTTCCAAGGGCCTCGAAAGGGGGCTCGAGGAAGGGTGCCGCGTGTGACCGCGATAGTCGTATAACGTTATATCGATCTCAGCGGCAAGCTTTTCCGTTACCGTCAACCGTCTCACCTATCGAGCCGTAACGGGTGGGTATAGGGTGGCATATCGATTCGCGGCCGGAACCACGGGCACGGCATTTCGAGTGGATCACTTGGTTATTGCTCTTCCCTCCGACGAGAGACGTCAATAAACCGAGAATATCCGATGTCAATAAACGGCACCGATACGAGAGAGGGTGAGACGCAGACATGGAGAGCTCTCTCCGTTTTAGATTCAGTTTAACTTTCCGGGCAATTAGAATTTTGTTAGCTGCACACAGACTCACGTGCGATTATTTGCGCAAATATCACGATTAAATTCTGAAAATTGCAAACTTGAAAGAAAAATAAAAGCCAGCAAGATATATGTTAATAATTTTCCAACTTCTTTCCCCGATATATTAAAACACGCTGCGCATACTGAAGGTACACTTAATAAATATCAAGCTGCGACATTTGTCACAAAATTAATAATAAATATCACGCCGCGACATTTGCCGCAAAGGAACGAGTTACACGCATGCTTTTAAAAGGATAACTGCTCTCTTAAATAAAAAGGAAATACTGCGCGCCGCGGTCCGAGATATAGCTGTCGTATGTCCAGAGGTGAAAGGGATTATCCTCTCTCGAATACCTTCCTGTGCATTCGAGCGTACATATACGAGAGAGTCGGTCCGTTTATACACTCCCGCATTAATGCGCATCGAGCGGTCACACGAGCACTTGCTCGAGCATCCTTCCGGGACACTCCAGAGAGAAGCATGAAGGAGTTGCGCGTTTCCCCCTCCGTTTATAATTCGGCCGTAAATTTTGATCGGGCGCGACCCTCTCCAACTTGATCGTATATATATCGAAAAGGTGGCACATGAGTCTCTCCCAGTTCTTAAATCGGTTCAACAGCTATACTTGCCCGCGCAAATAATATCAGGCATGACCTGGTCTTCTTTTCGCAAACGCCGAATATTATTATGCGCGAAAATATTAAACGATATACGAAATCGATCGTGTTAAGTAAACGACTCCAAAAAAATCCTCTATATAACTGAACGTTAATTGAGAGTCTAATTATTATGAAAAATCATCTGCGCAGATTATGATACGTGAAGGGCTTTTTCATGAGTGCAATTGAATGCGACATGCCGAAAAGAATACAAAAAAAAAAAAGAGTTTGCGAGAGAACAGATTCCGAACGAAAGAGGGAGAAAGGCGCAAGACGTTGCTCCGTTCTCTTCGAAATCGGGCGGAGGAGGCAGAAAGAGGACGGTGATTTTCGATTTCTTTTTTTCATTTTCTTTTTTTTTCCGAGACAGTCCCCGGGGTAGATCAGGCGGAATGTGTCGTCGTTACCCCGGGCTGGTCAGACCGTGTCAGACTGTGTCGCAGTCGCGCCGGAGGACGAGCGATAATCGAAAGCCAACTGTACCTCCGCGCCGGGAATCCCGTCGGTACCCTGGGGACAAACACAGATCGACTCGTTAGCGTGTCTCTCTCTCCGTGACGACGACGGTGAGATGTAATCGAGTCAACGGGTTGACTCGACGCCGTTCCTCGGACATGACTCGATCTCGGTACGTGCCCGCGCGACGATCACTCGGGACTCGGGAAATCGCAAGCGGCGTGAAACACAGAGATCAAGAGGGATCGGCAATCGACGGAGAGGAACTTCGCGATTGACGATTCGATCGAATTCCAACGCGGCAAGAGAACGGCGAGATCCGCGCGAGATTTTATTCGAAGCTTATTTGTCGAGGAATTCGATTCGCCGATGGAAGATCGACTTTAAATGTATAAAGAGAGAAATCTATCGGTAAAATATTTATTCGGGAGCGCGCGCCTCAAATGATCCGAAACCGCGAAACCGGAAAATTATTGTTTGATGAAGATTGCCCCGGGATAATACTCGATAAATCTCGGGATATATATATATATACCCCGAGAGTTCTCGATAAACACGAGTGGCAAGCGGGGCGATATATCGCGCGTTCAGACGGATCAGATTCGACGGCGGATAAATACTTGATGAAGCGTTAGGACTTACAGGCAATCCCGGATCTCCTCTTTCTCCCTTCGTCCCTGGCTCGCCCTGCGCGCCCTGAAAGTACGAAGGAACATGACGGGCGATTTTGGGGAACTCGGCTCGCTCTCGTCGTTAAGGTAAAAAAGCCAATGAGGATGAAACACGCTCGCGACTTTTCTCGGCTCGGCGTCTAATTTCGGCCGATCGATCATAATATTTCGGATCGCGTGACGTGACGAGACGTGACGAGACGAGACGGAAATAGAGCGTGTCCGAGAACGAGAAAGGTATAATTTTATATAGTGAAAACGGGGTCATCCCGTGGATCGCTCACCTTCATGCCGTCTAATCCTGGTGATCCCTGAAAGGTAGAGGAAACCTCGTCAGATACACGGCGTAGCCCATCGATAATATCGAGCGTGTAATTATTGTCGACAGCGACTTAAAAACTATGTCGCGCAGGGGGAGGGGGGGGGAACTTTTTTTTTATTATAATATTTAGAGATCGCCCTTTTGACACCGTCGCTGCGCCCTCGAGTGTTTCAGGATCGGTCCTCGTTTTAATTCCCGCGTGTCGATCGATTTCGCGCGAAAATTTGTCGCTGGCTCGGCGAGAAAGAATATTTGCACAGCGCCGCTGTTTCGCTATATAAATACATATAGCTGCAACTCTCGATCGCGTTACATCCCTCCCCCCCGCAGCTTCCCCGCGCGCCGCGCGATGAAGTTTCGAAACTCTCGTTCGGATTTTCAAATTAAGTTATAGTTGCGCTATATCGGCGCTTGATGTGCCCGGGTACAGATATTGGCCGGGGATATTCGATCGGTTTTCGTTGTAACGAAATTGCGTTTCTATTGAATTCTGTACTGGCGCGCTCTTGTTACAACGAATATCCCCGTCCTCGGTAAATATTTGAGGTGTAATTGCGGATTTATTATATATATAAATTTCGAGATGGGGGGGGGGAACGCGCTTCGAGCTATTTCCGCCCTTAAAAACGGATGTGCAAACATTTCTTCCGCGGAGTAAAACTCTCACTCGGCGTGTAATGAATTAGATTCGTTTAGTTGCCGTTCTTCAGGCGTTTCAACTACGAAACTCATCTTCGACCCATCGTCGCGTCGCAAGATAATCTCCACTCCCGCTTTCATATTATCAAAATTAATCCCGACACCGAGAGAGAGAGAAGGAAAGAGAGAGAGAGAGAGAGAGAGAGAAAGAAAGAGAGAAAGAGAGAGGGACAGACTGACAATCGAGGGCGGTCGGCGTCGTGGAAGGTAAAGCAAGAACTTGAGTAAAGTTGAAAAAAAAACGAGCGCGTACTTCGTACCGAAGCGTCGACGCTTTTGCATCCCGTCTTTGTGTTCATCCATTTTTTTATATATCTTTTTTCTTCTTTCCGATCTTATTTCTAAGGTAGCAAGATTAATCGTCGGCCTGAATGATCCGCCGATTAACGCCACCGTCGTGGTCGCAGCAAATTAACACGTGTTAATTTTTTGGTTGTTCCTTTTTTTTTCCTTGTCTTTAATCGTTTTCCATTGCAACTTGCAAACAGATGCAAATATACATAGAGAGAACGGAAGAACGAATAGTGAGCGGAGACTCGTTTATCCGGACTTGGGCCGGATCGCAAAAAAAAAACAGTCGGAGCACAATGCAAAAGAAGCGGGTATCTGATTATGTTACTGGATTAACCGTGTGTGAAAGCATTAATTTGGTAGGCAGTTTTAGAAGCAAAGGACACAGGCACATGCACATTCTGTTTATTAATCGGGACAATGTAAAACAAAACTGCTGTTAGAGTCAGTATTCACATACGCATTCAATTAGGTCGCCTTAAGTTGATCGGCTTAAGAGGAGCGCCGCCTTAACAATTATCGCACGCACACACACGCCTGGGGGAGGGGGTCTCGTGTGTACATATACCGTACATATATCTATATACATATATACATACATATATGTATATACGTATCATGTGCACACACAGAGCGTCTCCTGTGTCTACCGTGAAACATTCCTCCAATTATATGGGTTCTTCCGCGAACTCGCGCAGTCGACTTTTCGTTCGGGCGAAAATTTCATCAAATATTTGGCGAGCAAAGTTGAAATTTTTGCTAAGACAAAACTTGTTTTATGAATTACTTGAAAAATTAGCTGCTCCAGTACCAGAGTAAAATTTTAATTCGGGAAAACCCTTTAATCTTGGATGTCGGGGAAACATCGTAATTAGATTCCGTTCGAATTTTCGTCAGGGGATCGTCGAATCCGTAGAGGCCTTCGACACGACGTGACAGCCTCTGTGTATGTGTGGGTATACCTGCACACGACACGCAGTTACGTGTGTGCGCCTTTTACTTGTACTTACATTTATAGACATACACATACAAATGAGTATACAGCGCGAGTTTCATCCGGCGAACTTTCGCGATCTATCCGGAGCACTAAAACGGAACTTTTTAATGGGCTCTCTCGCCCGCCACTGAATTTCGACGAGGATGGAGAGAATAATACATCGAATCGACTTAAAACAAGCGTGGATATCCTCTTGCCGGATCGATAATTACAGCTCTATCCATATCGGCTTACACTCCAGCTTTCTTGCCGAGATAATGAGATACTCTCGCGGGCAAGGGTATCTAATAAAAATTGAGAAATTCCGTTCCGGCGTTGCCGAAGAAACCGTACATTCGTCGGATATAGGATTGAGAAATCGCCCTGTATATTTATATACACATCTCTCGACTTGCGCATCTCGACGCGACTGCGTTTCTCGTTTCACGCATACGTTTCCTTCGTGTATATGCCAACGTGTGTGTCGCGCGTGTACGTGTGAGCGTTTTGTATACATATATGACGTGTTCGTGCTCGTGTTATTAAATATATGTATATGTGGGCGGTATCGTAGACTCTCTTTACACGCACAGGAGAATTGCCGCCGGATAGGGTCGTCGTCGGTGTTGGGAGTCGACGTGGAGCGCCTCGTTTCGCTCTCGCGCAGTCTCTCTCGTCCAGTTATCCTCTTAAGACTAAATCTGCGTTAATTTATCGGGGGTGTACACACAGGGATAAGGTGTTAGAAGTAGTCCGCTCGTACAAGTCCGTGGTATTACGGTACATCGATTGTGTGACGGCGCGGCGCGCCGAGAGAGCCACCGTCTATTCTACACTGTACATTCTCTCGCGATTCTTCTTGCTCCTTGTATTTTTAGACGCCGAGGATGGTGCGCGCGATCGATCGGCACGGAAGTTGATTTAAACGACTCAAAATACTGTACTCGACGTACGCGTATAGTGGTACAACAGCACTTTGCGACGCGAATTTGCTCCAATTAATTGTCAGCAGTTCCTGATGAGTGAACATTGTTATTAATTCCTGTATTCGTGGATGAAACGGTTTTCTGTTAACGTTTCAGAGTTTTAAAACTGAAGGGGCAATTTTCAAGTGATCCAAATCAATTTCCGTGCGGCCGGAGCGGCACACCAGCCGCCGATATCCTCCGCAGAAAGTGGTTAGTACCTTCGACTTTCCTACCGAGATCGTCTTTAAAGATGCTTTTTAATAGGGCATCTCGTTGCACTTGGAAAAAGATCCCTCTTAGGCCGAGCGATTACCTGCCGGTAATTACATTTTTTTGCGTGTATCGTGCGATTCCCGCGGAGTCGAGACGCGATGAGGATCGTAACTCACGGTATCGAAAAACTCTTCTCACATTTCCGTTTCAGCATTCGCGAGACATTCTCGTAAAAGAACAAAAGGACTTGGTTAACTCCAGAATTTGTCGACCACGTCGCCGAGAAACGCTTGTCGAAATTATTGACTACCGTAAACGTTAAATCGCGTCCGCAGATTCGCTTATGTATAGTTGACGTCTAGTTTATATCGCCAACGAGCATGTCGTATCGACTTTATTATTGATGAAAACGTCACGCACCCGTGTTTCTCAGCTACGTTAGAGTTTCCGCAGGAAAATATTGCGAACTATCGATAGCGCACGTTAGTGCACCCGACGGGATAGTAGCGGAAAAGCCGAAAGCGGGCAGAGAGAGAAAGAGAGAGAAAGAGAGAGAGAGAGGGAGAAAGAGGCAGAGAGACAGGTGTATATCTCCCACTTGTTATTCGTGACGGCCAGCCTTGGAAACGGCTTTACTGCTGTACGGCGAACGTGAAATTTTCTCGCGACCGATGCTCACGCGCGATATCACCAACGTTTCCCACGACTCTCGTAAAAGGTTCCTGCCGAATGTAAGGGGGCCGAATACCCCGGCCTTTTCCCCGTCGCTCTCCCTCTCTCGCTGCCACGCCTCGACTGCTGCTTCTTTATGCAAGCTTTGTGCAAGCGATGATTTAAAACGCATCCAGCTGTTCTGCGCGAGGGAAAAGCCGCTTTTAGCGAATTTAATTGTCAATCAACGCGTTCTTATCAACGTTCGCGTCCGGATCGAGCAGCGTTGAGAGATGAGAGACGTTATTGATGTTCGATCGATGTTTCCTGATGAAGCCATCCTGACGCCACCAACGAGTAATCAGGAGAATTTTTAACGCGATACCTATGCGTCGATTATAAAGTTTTGTTTTTATATATTTGTGTTTTAATTTCTATCACAAAAGAAAGGATCTCTCTGCACGTTCCGATTTCTCGCTTTTGACGTCACAATTTAGTACAATAGCGATGCGATATCAAGAGTCTTAATTTTTTATTCCCTTATATTTTCTCCACTTTTTTTTCTCCTTCATCGATATATCTTGCAGAATTCCCCACGTAACCGTGCGGAATTCTTGATGGTTCGTGAAATGCGACTGGAATGCTACGAAGAAATGTAGAACGAAGAGGAATCATGATAAATGGCTGGGTTATTATTAGGTGCCGGCGATGCTGCGAGAGCGAGCTTTCGTTAAGTACAAGCCGACTGAATTATTCTCAGGAGAGGCCACAACGGAAAAGTAGATTTTGCCAGACAAGGGCCAGACTGCAAATTGTTTCTCGAAACGCGTCAAATTAGTTTTGACGGAAATTAAACCTCTATACTTTCGATTTTGCTAGATCATTGTAACTTGATCGTTTCTGTCCATCAAATTTACCATTTAATTCTTTTTTCCTTTCTCGTGACTCATGTTTGTAAGAAATATTTCATTTTTTAATAAAAATTGAGTCCTAAATTGAAAAAAGCACGCTCCTCAAGTTTTATGCATAACTTCCTACGCAAATTTGTCGAATGCGATTCGAGAAGATAAAATATCGCGAAATTACCGGAGAACGTTTACGAATATTTCGTACATATACGTGATTCGCGATGAAATGTCGTTACTTTACTTTTGCTGCAACAGTGCGGTGATTAAAGTGCCTTTACGTTTTACTCGATAAGATCGTGAAGTCCTTACACGCTTACACTAATGACTCGTTCGGAGAACAGAGTCCGTACGCTTTTTTTTTTCTCGTATACGCTGATGATACAAAATTCAGCGGGACGGCGAAATTCGTATCCTTTCCTATCTTTCCACCAAACTCTGAGTAACTCGTGTCCGCGCGATCGAGAATCTGTTCTCGGTCGGCGCGAGCGGTTTGCCGACGTGTATAGAGTAAGTTAAGAGGACGGATGGTGGCGATGCGTTAACGCGCGGACCGAGCGAGCAGCTTACTTTGAAAGTGGCGCAAACCAAATCTCGTGGACCTCGTTAAAACGGTTACGGTGGGTACCGCGGTTTCTCTTTACCCGCGAATTATACATTAACGCCATTTCCCGTAGATCTGGTTTAAACCCTTTGCAAAATTAGCGGCTCCGCGACGTGCGCGGCTCGCTACGTACGTTCGGCTCGAACTGTAGAGGGATGATCTCGGGAAGATATTTTAGCGACGATTTTTTTGACGAATCGGAATCGGAATTTTTTCTCAACCGATATAATTTCAGGGCGATTTAATTAAAGGAAACGTGTCACATCGAAAATACGCCATTTAAAAATTCGTCAAAGAATCCGTCTTCTAAAATAATTTTAGGCATCAGTAATCGGACAGCCCGTGTACAGCCGTAATTTTCACTTCCTGGCCAACTTCGACGAGCTTTAATAACCTGGAAGACGTTCCTTCCGCGTTCTTGTAGTCCCCAACGTCCGGCATCGGCATTCGATTTCAATCGACTCACTCGACAAATCTATCCCACGCCTGTGAACGCTGTGAAAAATTACAATCGCAGTCTACAGGGAACTTGCATCCAGCTTCTGGGTTTCGGTTCTCGAGCACGAAGTCGCGCGCGAAGAAACACGCGTATTCTTTCGGAACAGGCGAGACACCCGCGTGTCTCTCACAAAGACATTCGATCGAAATTATATACGGCGACGTATATGCGTACCACTTCCCGACGTGTCGGGAGGGAAAACGCGCGACCTCGGCGTTCCGGCGCACCGAGTTTCCTCAATTTCGGAGACGGCTGACGTAGAATCTCGCGTTAAGACACCTCGAACGGTAGAGTCTGTGGTCACAGACCGACGACGGCGCTCGAGATCCATCTCGGACGATGGCGGAGTCCAGCCGACTCCGGGACTGAACACCCCGCGATTGCTATTTCTATCGATCTAACGCGTTAACGGCAGTCGTCGTTGGCGAAAGCGACTGTCCTCGCGAGCGCCAAGTGTTCACTAGGCTTCCTCTCGAATCGCCGCTCTCTCGACGGTGACGACGACCGCGCTCGTCGACGCTCCCTCCTTACCCTATGCCCCTCTTTTTTTTTTATGTATGTATCGTATGTACACTCAGAAGCAAGCGTACTCGAGAGGCGATCGAGAGGCACGCTCGCTAGGCTGCGTCGCGGGCGATAATGTGAACGCACTTATCGGCTTATCAGCGAATTCCGCGGCGGCGACGCCAAGTTACGATGACGTTAGGAGCGGGAGGTCCGCGATCTTACCATGGCGCCAGGTTTCCCGGAATCCCCGGGCTTTCCGGACTCTCCCCTCAGTCCCATGGGGCCCTGAAAGTAGATAGACAGAACGCCCATCAGCATGTCTCGTCGCCGATTCGACGCGCGGTTTTGCGACCCCCCGTCAACGGGGGTCTCTCGCACGTTTTTGCAGGTGATGGCCAAGCGCGCGACTTTTCCGCCGCTTGTGGAGGAGGATGGGGAATATGTGCAGGATGTGCTCTAAACGCTTGTATTCGTATTCTTTTTGTCATGCAGAGAGATTGCGTATACCTTCGTAACATTGTGCGCACGCCTCCTCCCGTCTTTCATTCTCGTGTACCTACTTCTGCCGATAAAGTCCAATTCGTTAATTATACCACGTGTGCCAATACCCTACAACCCTTTCAGTCTCAAGTTTTTCAAGTTGCCAAGAAATGGGGAAAGAAATCTCATACGTCAAATATTCGGGGGTGTTGGTCAAAGATAAACTCGTAGACGATGTTATTTTCCTCTGTTTTCGCGCGAAAGGTGTATCGATAAATTGCAGTAAACTCGCAAAATTGACTGAAAGAGATACTAACGCTAACAACGCAACGTTCGCGGAATTTTCGCAACGCGATTTTTGCAGAAAAAGCAAAAGCGAGGACACAGGATTTTTTTTTTCCCCGAGAATCCCCGTTCGGGGGTGGTCCCGTCTGCGTTCTATCCTGCCTTTGTGCGTCCTGTATCCGCGTTTCCTTTTTAGACCGCGCTTAAGGCTACATATGTGCGCGTGTGTGTATATATGTGTGCGTGTGCATGCCGTGTGTAATCTGGAGAGAAAATACATACGGGCAGTCCCATCGGACCAGGATCCCCTTTGGCACCCTTTTCTCCCTGTAACGTGAAAAAAGAAAGAGCGGCGCGTGAGAACGGGCTTGTCCGCATCGCGATGGTGTCGCGCATCACGCAAAAAGGTGATCTCAAAGATCACCAGCGTGAATGGCTTCACGCCTCGAGAGTCACATCGCAAACGCGATCTTCCTTGCGTTCGGAAGGTTCTCAACCACGCGCGTCCTTCGCCGAGTTTCTTTCTGCCTTTTTATCTCGCGAATTATTTTTCTTGAGTCGTCATTTACTTTTAACATCACCGCGAGATGAAAAAAAGAGATATTAGAGAGTTTTAAAATATCGAAAAGAGTGAACAAAATTTTTTTATCGCGTTAATTGTAACGTGTTGTAAACATTTTTTGTTCGCTACAATTTGAACTAACAACTAGATTAATAACGTGAAAAAATAACGTCATCTATTATTGCGATCATAACCGGACTCGCTGTATAGTCGTTACGTTTCCCAAATTCAGTGATAGTATAACGGAGGTAAATAAAAATATAAAGCTACAGTTGATGTGTAAAAGGTTTTCACGACGGTTTTGCGTACGAAACGGGGGCGACGCAAACAGATCGATTCTGTTATTCGATGTCTGTAGTCTCGGAGAGAGAAATCAACATTCGTTTTCCATCGCGCGAACGCGAACGCGTGTAACTGCGCTTTTATATCTATATGCGCGCACAACAGATAGATACTGAATAGTTACTGACAGGATCGCCCTTGGCGCCATCGTGTCCTCTGTCACCCTTGATCCCGGGTGGGCCCTGTAGTCCGGGGGTACCAGCGGGTCCTGGAGGTCCAGGCGGGCCCATTATCTACGCATTTCGACAACGTTACGAATTAAAAACGATCGCACCGACGCTTACCGGTGGGAAAAAGGTTGCTCCTCCGCAGCGAATCAACTTCGAGTTCTAAAATTGATTTGCTTGTAGATTTTAATCAAATATAATTATCAAAAAATAAATAATGCATTTATAAATTCCTATAAATCCCCAACGCGAATGAATGTACCGTAAAATCGAGGAGGGAAAGCGGATTTTGTTCGACAATTTTTACAGCTTTGGTCGAATCACTTTATAATCCCCATAAATCGTGCCGCAAAGGGTTACGTAACTACATAAAACGCGGCCATAACGGAACACAGAGTCGATGTCGCGATGACGAAAATTTAAAACACGCTCAAACAGCTATGGACGATACGGAAGCGAAGTGATATCCATTCACCATATTTTTTTTTTCAACTCGACATTACCGTATACCGCGTGTAAATAGCGTGGTCAATAGTGAACGCATTCGCGAGGACGCGCTATCCTGAGAGATTTAACTTACCACTTCCCCGGCGTTCATCTCGAACGTGCCGTCTCCCTGCAAACAAACACGCATTCGCCGTGTTCATATACATATGTCGCATCAATATCAAGTTACATGCTCTTCGATGTAACATTAAGGATCCTCTTTCGCGCATCCTTCCTCGATCAAGGCGACGATTCTTTTGTCGCGCGATCGAGGATGAAGACACGAAGATATCTCGAATACAAACTGTCATACATACCTGTCTTCGCCTGAGCTTTTTGTACTTCTACGGGTGGAAGGTCGGTGCCCCAGCCATGAAAAGAAATTCATTTTATCGTGAGATTCTGCCTAACACACTGCCTGCGCCGCGATCGCAGTTTCGGCGCTATCGCGATCGCACCGAAACTGCGATCGGCGAAGCTATTGTGACGAAAAATACGATGGCATCTATGGAAGAGATGCGCCCCAACTTCGCGATCAATCGGAAATAGCAGCAGCTGCATTTATTGATCGTAAAAGATGTATTATTTTTCGATAATAGAATCTTGCTTAAATTTATTGGATTCCGGAATGAAACTAATTTCTGTGAAATCGCACTGGTTAGATCGTATTTCGTACGAACTTTGCTGTGTACGCGATTCGGTTATATGTCACGATGTTAAAAAAAGAAATAACCAAAAATATAGTTAAAAATGATATACGAATAAAAAATATTAAATAGAAATTTTTATATAAATCCTATACATAATTTCTCATGCTTTTCAATACCATATAATTCACATACTTATATAATTTTTTCTGTATATCATCCAATCTCTTATTAGTCTTATATTATTAATCTTTTATTTTTTCCTTATTGAGTAGAGAGATTAATTATATTGTGTCACATTAATTTTCGGAGCAGCGGAATGCAGTTCGAAGTTCGATGAACGCAAGTAACAAATTTGACAAACGTACTCACCGATTCGCCTTTTTCTCCCTTTTCGCCTTTCATCCCGGGATAGCCCTACCGACAGAATCACATAAGATAAAATATTTACGATAAGACGGGTCCGTTGGAGTGATGGCGTTTACGGCCGTTTACGTACCGGTGGGCCGGGTAGACCTGGAGGTCCCATAAGGCCGGGGGGACCAATGTCGCCATAGTCGCCCTTTTCACCTTTAGGTCCGGATATTCCCTGAAAAGAGAGACGCGGCGTACATCAAATGTCACAGATTTATTCTTCCTTAATTCCATAAAAAAAATCCTCCGCGTGTTACGTAATATCGCGCATATTAATTAGATTCAACATACGATATTTGTATAACATTACATAATATTATAGTGCAACTGATCAGAGAGTTGCATTGATATAACATTCGATATAATATTACAAGTATTCTGTATTGAAAGTTTAGCGCGCAATGGAAGGGATATCTAACATTTAACGAATATATTATGATATTTAATATATTGTGGATGTATTCTTTTTGAACTAATAATGCGCTTAATATTCTTTTAATGTCTATTTGAACAACGTTTATCACATTACGAGAATCCAGTTGCGCGGAAACACGGAAAGATATTCAATCCGATCTTCAAAATACGCGGCGATTACTTATTACTGGCGGGACCAAAAAAAGCTTTACGTAATAATGCACGCATTTATTTTTATAACATTAAAATCTATCAGTTACGTAAATAACATGCGGATGCTACCGAAAGAAACGCTAAATCTTGAAGCGTTTGAAAATATAGCGAACAATATGTAATATATGCTACGAGTTTATTTTCCTCGAATTCTCTTGCATTTTCTCAACTTGTTTCAACAATCGTTGCAACGTAAAATACGCCGCGTGACATTGTGCAAAAGTCCGACGACGAGAGGAATATTAAATTTTCGCTACCTTTGTAAAACGCACGGTATGTCTCCCGAATATTACGGCGTAAAGGGCATGGCGGACGAGATTTGGGAGGAACCATTTCTCATTTGCGTTCCACTTACCGGTAATCCGGGGGGTCCTTGGATACCGGGATCGCCGTCGGTTCCGTTAAGTCCCGGTAAGCCCTGCAGTCCCACCTCTCCCTTGGGCCCTGAAAGCGAATTTGCCGGCCGTGAGCCGCCCGCTTGCTTCGAGCTCGCCGAAGTTAGATTAATTCGCGCGCGCGAGACAGCGCGAGATCGATGACGGCCCCGCAATTTCGTAAACGCGCGCGTGGCAAGAAAACCTCCCCCGCGCGCCCACTTGCCCACTTCGCCTTCCTTCCCCGCCTTCGTTTTTCCGCCTCCAACTTTCTCATTTTGCCCCGAGCGACTTCCCCCGTGCCGGGAATACTTCCGGCGTGTTTATCGCGTCTCGGTAGAATAGCTCACCCGAGGGATTACCCGCGAGACACACTCGATGTTTATTGTCAATCGGGGGATCTTTAAATGCACGCGGATTTCTTCGTATATTTTTTAACGGTGAAAAAATGGTGGGTAATTTTTTAAACAACAAAAAAGTTTTGTGTGTCAACGACGTTATTTATACAAATTGACGAGTCTCGTTTGTGCTTGGACATATTTGGTTTACACGCCGGTTTTTTAAAGCGACAGTCAGTGAAATATTGTCAATGCATTATTATCTTTTTTATACTCCACCGATACCTTGATTGACGCTTTGAAAAGCACTCGTCAAAAGCACCGTCACGCTTCAACGTTTGTCGCTAAACGCGCAATAATATTCGCGACGCGAATAGCAATGATAAATATCGATCGACCCCGATGACCCTGTTAGAAAAACAAACGTTTAATTAAATATCCAATTCGACGCGAAACGGATTAATATTTAATTTCCTCGCCGAACGAATCGGCGTTATTAACTTTTGATTAAAATTTTTCACGGAAGGCGAAGCGCTGGCCGCTTTACGTCCGGAAGAGAATTGAGGGCACAGCCTTCGAATTCTTTCCCTAGGAACCGACGCGGGGTCGTTTTCAAGTTTCGCCGAAAGAACTTTTCGAATCGTTCCGCTATTACATATCTTCGGAAAGTTAAACAAGAAACCCGAACTGATCTCGCGCGCCTGTGTTCAGTGGACCCGCATTGTTCTCTGCACGTTTGCATAATCAAATGGAAAAATACGATTTTTTAACATCACGTTCACTTCGCACATATACTGTGAAATTATGAGACGTTATACTTTCATACGATTATATGCAAAAATATTCAAAAGAAGGTGCGGTGCCACTGAAGATCGACTAAAATTAAACGAACCGTGTGACGAACATTTGACTGTTTATTTTCCTAGAAAAAATTTGATAAGCCGTGCATCTTAACGCTCCTCTCATCGAACTCTTCAAAAATCAAATAAAGACAAAAGAAAAAAAAAACAGGAAATAAACTTTAATAATGAAATGAAATCTGATTGGCAGTATTAAACGTCGTCGATCGTATGTTAGGAGAGAAGACGTGACTATTATACTGCTAACCATTGGCCTAGAAAAGATCACACGAATTTGCATAATTTTCGAATTTTTCGCGCGGGTGCACGAGGGTAGAGAGGCGCGGCCGAAGGAAACGCGAAATCTTCGTGGGAGGATACTCCACAAATATAAGGGGGCGGATACGATCGTTTTTTCGGTGCTTATCCTCGCCAATTTTCCCGCCGCGGTAGAATGGCTTTCGTGGTAATCTACCTGGTGAACCCGCGTCTCCCATGGCGCCCTTTTCGCCCCAGTAACCCCGTTCGCCGGGCTCACCCTTCGGACCCGGCAGGCCGGGGACACCCCTCGCCAATGCCAAACCGCTCTCACCCTTGAAACCCTACAATGACACTGCAAGGTCAGATCCAACCAGGTCCTCCATGTGCGCTGTCAATTTTTCTTTTTCATTTTTGCTTCTATAACGAAGCGTTAATCTGTCTTCTTTCAGAGAGGAGGGAGAGGAGGAGAGGATGGCGTTTCGAGATCTACGTCAATTATTCGGACGATCTTAGTACCTTGAATAGTCCGTTAAATTTTCACAATTTGTCTTTATACGTAAAATCTGCATAATCTTTTTTTATCTTAGGTGCCCAAGATCGTCCAGCTACTCTTCTGCACTACACAATTAAACACACTTGCGGTTCAAACGAGTATCAGTGATTACATCGTGACGTAGACAACGATTACTAACACTCATGCGACTATAGAGGATTCGTTAGTTGGGGTAAAAATTTAGTAGAAAATCGAGGACTACTATAGTATATCTCTTTCTCTCTCGTGCTAGACGATAATATATCTATGATTTATAGTCTCCCCGCATAATTACAACCTGTAGAGCCAGTCCTACTGTGCCTAATAGGTTCCTTTCTTATTCGCAAAACGCAAAAAGGTATCCCATAAATTGTGATTTATTATATATTGGCAATTCCGTGCATTTACACAGCAATAAAAACTTTCAATTTACATGCATCGTTAAAATGTAACGTGGACCATTTACATTTGATTATACCTTGAAATATTATTAGCAAGTTAATACAACAAAAACAAAGATGTTTTTTATTAAATTCACAAAATAATAATTATAATAATTATAATTGGAATGTAAACACGAAAAATACTATGCGAGAGAGAAGGAGAGGGACGAACGAGGGGTAGGACCGACAGAAACATTATTAAATAAAAACAGATAATATTAATATCGCGCGTAAAATAGAGCATAGAGAGAGAGAGAAAGAGACACCATAGTCGCGACAGTAAGCTACATACTTTGAATACTTACGCGACAGCCTGCAGGCGCTTGCGATCGCCGGTCGATAGGGTTGCGAGAACCTCAACACAACAACAAGCCAGGGGTAGTAGTGGTTATTAGTGATTAGTGAATCGAACCGATATACGGGAGAGAAGTAGTGGGATGGTGTTACTCGCTACATAAACACAAATTAGTTACACAAGCTACGTACGCTACACACCGAGGATCACTACTCACTAATTATACACGCGCACACACACGCACGCACGCACGCACGCACGCTGTCAAAAGCGCTCGATATCGCCCCCGTCATCCCAAAAAGGACAGTGGCGAATGCGACGGACATCTACACGGTGGTCCAATCAAAAATATCTCAGGGGTTCTTCGACGAATTTTGGAGGTCTGGCTTTCCTTAGCGAAAATGTCGGATCGCTAGATTACTCTATGTCCGGAATAAATTTAAATCTGATGAAAAACAACTTAAAGGACCAGTCGCAAAAGTCAAGATACTTTCAAAAGAGATTAACCCCTGCAGGTATCGAGGAACCAAGATATTTTTGAACAAATCTGGCACACTCCGTATACGTTAGTTGTAGTTAGACGTACACTTGGCCGCGGCTTTGCAATCGGGACGCACGCAGCGTATCCGGGACAAGCATCTCCCGGCTTCGCGTCTCGTTAGAGAGGCAAATCGAGCGGACGGGCGAAATTGCGAGCGAGCTTGCTTTGTGGTCGAATGGCGAATTTTACGGTTCGGTGAGCCGGAGGTAAGTATCGCGGGCGGGCACGTGTATCCGCGAGTTTACCGTCGTGGTTCGACCGCGAAACTGCAGCGGAACTGTCGAAGTTGCCCCGAAGTAACTCTCAGCGTCTGAGACCGCGTCTATAAGGGCCACGGGGTTACAAGACTTGCGTTATATTTCGTACATTTAGTCGCGTTTCCTGTAGACGTACATTTCCGTTACTTGCGAAATTATTCTACGGTACTCCATAATCGCGAAAAAAATTAGAAAGCGCAATTGCAATTATATTGAGAACAAACCTTAAGGGAGAAAATTTAATTTTACGCAAAGAAAAGTACGAGATATTTTGCTAACTCCTATATGTGGTAAAACTTTAGTAAATATCATTCGGTCTCTCATTGCACCTTAATTCAGTTTGGTTTATTCGTTTGGATATATGTACTTTTCCATTGGAAAATGTGAAATTCGTGGATTTGTTCTTTTATTCATTAATCAAAAGTTTGTCATGCTTTTAGCATTGCACGTGGTAAAATCGCCAAAAGGGTACCGTTGACTTACTAGCCACTTCGCTGCAAAAACCGGCTCGCTGTAAATCCACGAAAATAAAATACACAGAGTTACGGAGAATTTAATATAACTTCGAAATGGAACGGAATACTTTTCTGTCATGAACATATGAACAGGTGAAACCTTCACACATTACGGCAAGAAACACACACTTTTGCATTAAATATAAATGAGCGTGTTTGAAAATTAATTTTGTTAATGAAATTTTGTTCCGTGGAACAATAATTATTGTACAAGTCTTCAATTTACTTTGCAAGAACTTTTGACCAACTAATTTATATAGTGCTTTATGCTTTCAATCATTTCAATTGTTATATTTAATTTAGCAAAGAATTCGTTATATACATCCTAAAATACTATATGTGCAAAATACAGATTCGAGGTATAATAAAAGCCGTTAAAATAAAAGAGAAAAAAATTAATAGAATTATATTTTCTTCATTAGATTAACTCCTATTTATTCCCTGTATAACATTATATTTGGAGACAATTGAATTTCTACTTGCTTACCATGCTAAGATTGACAAAATGTATATTAAAATGGACAGCAAGAGGAATCTTGAACTAATATTCCAAAACTAATATGAGCAAAATTAGAGTAACTAAACTTCATCGATGAAATTACATCTCGAATCACATTTCCATAGACAATTTCAAACACGTTAAATGCCACACAGTGGTCACCTATGGTCAGTGCAATCACGCCGAAGCGTTTCATTAATTTTCGATGCGACCACGAGCGTTCGAGAAGTCACGCGTTGTATCAGTGGATCAATTAACGAGCTAACGAATACATGCGTCAAGAAAATTTCACTTTGTCTTTCACACAATTAAATACGTCGCGCGTTCTCAATTCCAGCGATATTGATATTCGTGGAAAACGTGTTATACAAACTGGTCTGGAGATGCGCCGCGTGTGGGGTCTCCGTTTGCAATAGCCGTCGGGAGAGAGAGTTACGATCACTCGGCAGATCTACGAGTATACTTACGATGGACCCGAAAGAGCAGTACGGTCGTACGCCAAGCTCTTAGGCGCACTAGTTTACAGGTGTTAGGCGCGTAGGCGTGTAATTCGGCCGGAAGGAGAACGCTTTAAGCCCGCCACCCCCTGTGTTCGCTCGCTCGTTTGCTTGCTTGTTTGTTTGCCAGCTCAGTCTGCGGTTCGCGAATGTCGCTGGTGATGATGCGCACGAATGCGTGGAGACGATCGACGTCTCGACGTTCGCGCGAAGGGCAAAAAAACGAGAAAAAGAAAGAGAAAGAAAGAGAGAGAGAGAGAGAGAGAGAAACAGAGAGAGAAAAAGAAAGAGTTAGGGGGTGAGAAGAGGGAGAATCCGAGGGGAAGCCTCGGATACCACAATATGGATACGTGTTATTTGCTGCCACCAACGTTTCTTTTTTTTTCCTGCTTTCTTTTCCCGTTCCTGCCTACTATTCTACTCTTTTTCTCTTTTCATTTTCCATGTCATTGTTTCTCTTTTCGCATTTTTTGTATGGGACAGACGAGTCCCGACAGTCGCTCGAGGTATGTATGCAATTCCGAGGACGGACACGGGCGGGCGAGGAAAGCTCCCGAAGGAGGCGCGAGAAAATATCGCGTGTAAAAAGATATATACATATATGATTTCGCGAATCGAATGGCGACGTAACCGTAACAATGTTGCCGAATAATAAATAACACGTGAAATATTCTGTGGTCAATTTATAAATGTATGAATTTCAAATTCGCTGTTACTTGATTCTATACGGGGAACGAATATGCGCGTGCGACCGCATTTGAAAACCATTCGGTTAATTTACATTGCGCGCACAAACAAGAGGAATAGTTAATCAATCGAGAAATAAATTTTTTACGCGGCATTCAAAAATTGTGGACGCAAAACAAAATGGAGAGAATTCGTTTTCGCGTTCTTTCTCGTCGACGTTTCTTCTCGCATCCCATCCACATTCCGTCCGTGGATGCAAACATCTTCGCGAAGCGCGGAGATTATAAATCGCCTCACGGCGGAGGAGCTTCCCTCGGAGCCCGTAACCGTAACCGAGTGACGATGCTGTTCGGCTGCAGTTTATTCGACGATGCAAATGTGACGGAGTGACGTACGTGCTCATGCTCGCGTGACTGCGTGAAGAGTGCTGTGTGCCGTGCCGTGCTGTGCACGCGCGCGCCGTGCTTGCGGCACGAAGAAGCGTCTCGTGGAGTCGCGCTCGTTTTCGCGACTGGAGATCTCGGGGATTACGAAATCTAATATTCCGCGAGAAAGGCGCGAGACGTCGGCGACGATGCTCGAAAGTAGGGCGAACGAGACCAAGAAGGCGAGAAGAAGCGAGGATGGACGAAAAAAAGAAAGCCGGACGTTTTTCTCGCGCAGAAAGGAAAATTACGGCGTTTGTTCTCCGCGGAATTGCGGAGAATTATTTAATCGATAAAAATAGAAGATTGAAATCTCCGGAAGAATCGAGCGCAATTTCAAATTTAAGTTTACCGGGATAATTAATAGCTGTGACATTCGTTAAATCGTCGTTAGGCAAAAATCGAAGAACGATACATTTTTTACAAATTCTGTGAATTAAGTTGTTTAGCACTCTCGAAATCGAAGCAAACAAACGAAATGTGACAAAATCGAAATGTAAACGCAAATGCGACGCGAGATCCGCTGCTCCAATTACAACGCGGAATTAAGAGCGACGTAATCGGGAATATCAAATCAGGCAATCTAGAGCCGTCGCGCGACGGAAACTCCGCTGACGCTAAAACACTCGGTCTATATGTACCTATATATAGATACTGAAGAGGCATGGTGTTGTGACGCGATGTAAAAGACAGACTGTACTCCCACGCGAAAATAAACTACGGTTACGTCATGCTACGCAACATGAGGGATCTAAGTAGTGACAATTCAAGTCAAGAGGCATGCGGTTATCAGCGTCCGAAGGGACGTGAGTGTCCGATGTATTTCGCTACACCATGCAAAAGCATGCACGCAGCATGCGGGACGCAGGATGCAAAGGGGGGAGGGGGGTTCCAGAGGATATCGGGGGAACAGATTGGATGGACCATCCCTTTCTTTCCGTTTCCTTTTTTTTTGTCCTTTTTTTTTTAATTTCTTTCTGCTTCCTGCTACGTTCGGATTCAATCAACGGATAACGGGATCGGTCGGGACGAATGGGACGGCTGGGTTAGGGGACGGGTGGGGCGGATGGTCGTATACGGGGGGTTACTTTGGTCGATGGTCGGCGGCGGTCGGAGGACCTCGCTGAAGCTTACCCTCTTCCCTTGCTTTCCCCGAGCACCCTTCTCGCCGGGCAGGCCGGGCGGTCCTGTCGGGCCCAGTTCTCCCTTCTCGCCCGGGGACCCTGCGTGCCGTGCATAAGATGAAACATGGTGCCCGCACACCACGCTGGCTCGTCCGCACGCACGCACGCACGCACGCACGCACGCACGCGAACGAGCAGCGCGGAATTTCCGGGATCGGCGGTGTTTTTCGAAGATTCTCTTCGAGTGATCGAACGCCGAGCGGCGGCGTTTGACGAATCGCGTGATCGGAACTTTACGGAAGTGAATATCTGGACCGAGAGAAACGCGGCTCGCGGCGATTTTTGGAACGAGACGAATTATAAGAAATTTTACGACGAGTAACGCGATCGGCCGAAATGCCGCAATGTAAACTCGAATGTAACATTATCAATCAAGATTTAAGCGGCTAAGAACTGGAATTACGGTCTGTCAAGTGTACGGGATTAACACTTCATTTATGGCGACGTATTCAACCGTTAATATTTTATCAGCAAAATTCTGACTTATCGCGTCTACGGTTCTCCGATAGAACTGACAGCTAACAACATGGTACGTCGCAACGAGAACGATCAATGTTGTTTCTGTCACACGGCAAAGAAACTTCTATATCTGCATAATAAGATTTTCTTTCATTTGCTCGCCAGTAATAGAGTGACATTTGTCGTAACTTCCGTAATACTGATACAATGATTAGAGAGAATATTCTGTCTCTATAAAATTTATATAAATTCAATTCAATTAAATAACAACTTTATTACTATATTCTTTTATATTTTATAAAGAAAAAAACTTCTCTGAAAAGTAAATATAAAATTTGCTTCCTGTAGCGAATAACATCGATATACCTATAAACTGTTAACTTGCAATGTTTCAACACGCACGAGCTACCTTTCTGTGTTTTATCTGTATCATAAAGTCACAACTACCATATAAAGCTGCAACTGCAAAAACTGTTCCCGCGTGCACGAAACGAAATTCGCGGATCGCGCCGAGCCAGAGTAAATACGCCGGTGTGGCGCACGTCGTTGATTCTAAAATACGACTTCGTACAATATCGACAGTAGCTTTGTACAACACCGAGAGTTTCCGCGACTCCCGCGCTCGCTGCAGTTCGTGCCATGAAATTGCGAGACGGATTTGTATGTGGCTAAATTAATTCTGTCAGGTGCGCATGTATAATGCCCGGAAACGTTGTTACTCGTCCTTGCTTCTCTGCCGTCGTCGCGCAACGGTATAAAGACGGATTAGCGTTCGCGTAATTTCGTTCTGTCGAATCCATCGGACTCGCAGCTTGCTAGCCACGCTTTTCGCGACGTTGTGTCCTCGACACGATCGTTTCGCCGGAGCTATCTTACCAAGGCTAGATTACCTTCTCGCGCGACAAGATAAATCGATGTAAAGCTCTCCATCTAAAATTCGCAAGCTCTACGAAAAAGATTTAATTCGGTCTTACTATTAAATCCCTTTTAAAGTCTTTATCTTTACTTTGTTCTCGATTAGGATAAAAGGATTTGATCTCGAGATATTATCTAATTAGCTTTCATTGAAGAAATGATTAATCCCAATGCTATTCGAATCAAATTGATTTATTTTCGAGAAACGAGCATGTGTATTTCGGTGCAAATGCATAAATCGTGTAATTTCCAACGATTATCACGTTCCGACAGTCTCTTTAAATCCAGCTAAAGATTTCAGAGCGTAAACGAGCGTGTTTAAAACTGTTTCGGTGTTTTCCTGTTTTCCCGACGCGATTCACACTCAATTATAATCACGGAATTCTCCCCGCGGATCAATCATGTCGCGAGGCAGGTAACTGATACTCGGCGACGCTTTTGCCAATATCCAACGTATCACGGTCAACACGGCGCGCTGTAAACGGTCGTTTACGAGAGTAGCGAGATCGGATTCTGAATACGTCCGCGATCGTAAATCATTTTCTCGCCGTCGTCGTCGCGCAGTATACGGCGGGGTGGCGCGCGAACATTGACGAACGACCGAGTCGTGAGATATTGGCGCGAGAAGGGTCGGAATTTTTTTTTCTTTTTTTTTAAGTCGGCAGTCGCCGCTCGCATCTTTTCGCGACGAGATATTCCTCGGCTCGCGCGAACGCGCCGTGCCTCAGGAGCGCGCATTTATTACCCTCTGCACTATTCACGAGGAGCGTTGCGCGTGGTGTCTCTTGCCTTGTAATTTTAACCAGGGAGCTGAATCTTTTACACGCGGAGTATCTCGGAATTGTCGTGACAGTTCCCGGAGGCAACAGATTTCTCGGTTGCACTTATATAGCGGCGCGCTTTTTCGGCGAATATTTCATGGAAATTTCACGTCGGTCGCATCTTTATATAACGTTAATACCACTAAGTATGTTTAGTCTAATGAAATTTAGATTAATTGTGTTATAAAGCCAATCCAATTTTTTACAAAATTTACTTCTGCATTTTTAAAATCTGTTTTTCACACACACACACACACACACGTCCTATTTACTTTCTGTATGACTATATAATCCTTCAGAGTAACGTTGCGCACAGTAATACTTTAACGTGCTTAAATATAACGTTGACATTTAATTATATTTTTCTTTCATTACAGAAAATTTTCCTAATGTTTCTTGCGTGTGGGTGTGTGATCGTCATTTTTACGAGATTAATTTCACGACGAACCGAGTATGAATTTCGAGATACCATCATGTATATAAATGCGTAGCGCAGTTTTTTGGACGGTGCTCCTCGCGGACACTCAACTCCCGAAGGGTTAACGTCCGATCTGCACGGGACGAGTGGCGGCGTAGAGAGAGAAAAAAAAAAAAGGAAGCTCGCGCGAATGGCAAAGAAAGATTTGCTCACGGCCGCATACATTACTACATGCGGCCGAGACACAGCACGTGTATACGCCCACCGTATAACCGCGCGATCGCCTCTCGATCCTCTCGAGGAACAACCTGCACGGTCATCCAAGTCAAGATTTCCTCATCAAACATTTCCGCGTTTTCTTCGCCTGAGGTCACGCCGACGCGCGAAGATAATCGATTCACGGATGAGTGCAGCTCGTCGTGTTCCGATTCCGAACGATCGCGGCACGGATCGACTTAAAATTAATCGTTTTTTCGCCGGATCGCGATACTAATGATTCCTTAATCGCGCACTGCCCATTCAAAAGAATTCTTCGGGATTATAAAGTGGAAGATTATACAGCATGTCGAAATAAACAGAGAATAATGTGAAAAATATCGATTTTAATAAAACGATAATAAAACGTGTAAACTAGAAATGTTAACTAAAAATACTGTCGAGAAAATGAAAAGTAAACATGACTATGCGAGTAACGAAAAAAACAAATTGGGCTCAGCCCGGTATGTGATTTCCTAATACAATTGGATATAAAGCTACCAAATAAAGATATCAAATTCAAAATGAAATGATGACGAAATAAATAATTTGCACAGAAGATTCGTAGAGAGTTACCGTAACGTCGTTCTCGTATTCCTCACGGGGAATTGCAATTGACGCGTAATGTTTAATCATTTATTTCGTATGCAGATTATCTCGTTTGTATGCTTACCAGGTGGTCCTGGTGGACCAGGTGGGCCTTCGAATACTCCACTTGGAAACTGCTCACCCTTTAAGGTCGTCGTGAAGCCCCGATCGCCTTTATCACCCTTGTCACCCTGTCGAAAATAAACTTTCGATGACTTTTCGATATTTATTACATACTACATAGCCTCCCTCATATATTCCTCGCTTCATTACAATAATTATTTCCTGAAAATGAAATTATCTTATTTATTTTCCGCGACAATTCTGTACCAGCGAGTACGAACAAGTTAATTAAAAGAACACTTTCCTAAATGGATAGCGTTTGATGATCCTTTACCGTGGCAGTATCAAGCGTTAGTAATTAATATGCAGGAACGTGCTTTCGAATGTAATTAATTATAGTTGGATTAAATTAACAATGCGCCGGACGTAATTAATACTCCATTGTTCTGTAATCGCTCTGTTGTACTCCATTAATAATTATCGGTTGCGTAACCTCTTGAATGACGCAATATTAAGTGTATAATACCTATGTAACGCTGCGCTTCTTTTTTAACGATGGACCAGCTATACATAATAGCTTGCTTGTTTAATTGCAAAAAGTGCCTTTGCGCGAAAAACGATGCATATTCTTTTCGCCTTTGCGCCAATTGGTTTTGAAAGATTCATCGCGATTAAGCGAAATTGAGAGAACGCCGGGCCGGTTGAAATTTGAGAGTAATTCAAAATCCCGTGAGATTAGCTGGATTTGTTTCAAACCACGTACTTGAAAGCTCGCGGCCCCGTGATCATTACATAATTCCACGGTATAACGTGGTTACCTGCGGTGATATATCCGTAATATTAAATCATTCCCTGCGGAATTTTGAACACGGTATCGGACGTTTGATATTTCGTAATACGCAAGCCCACGATTATGCGTGAAATCACGCTTTATAGTTTCTATTGGGTAAATAAAGTTAAGTTTAAACTCCGTATTATCAATTCAGCCATTAACGAACCGGCAATAGAGATAATTTATGCAACAATGTGACATAACATATTTATGAAAGTAAAATCTGTCACTATTATTATGTAAACGCATGTATGTTTACGCGGAAATGCCCCCTATTTTTATAATATTATATTTTTTGCTCTTTGTCTTCATTTCTTTAATCTTGGGATAATTATAAATTCTTTTAACGCACGTTTTCAATTAATATTAATGAGAATTATTCATCATTATTCGGGAGATAATTTAGTTTCTGCATTATTATCTGTCCTACTTCTATGCAATCTCAACTTCGCTTAATTATTTCCGTAATAACATTTTTGACATGTTTGAAAATGACCGTTATATGCAAAAAGGATTCGAGAATGAGATTTATTAATTTTAATAGAATTTTTTAAAAATTCCTTATGGGATATTTTTTTACAATATTTCAATATATTAAAAAGAGTATATATAGTACTAGAAAAATCTTTTAAATAAATCACTTGTCCCTCATCTTTTCAATGTCCATGCGTTCTCCACCAAGAGAACGCATGCTACTTTCACCCCTTTCGTGACGGAATGCCACCTGTCACGCCGAGAGGAGGACAGCTGACCGAGGAAAGCTCTTCAAATCTAGGGAAACGGATGACATTTGATACCTCGATGTCCCAAAGACCGGGACATGGCCGACGTGTAACCGGAGATACGGCGTGGATTAATTTCTCTCGGACTCACCTTGGGACCTGCAAGTCCAGGCGTGCCCGTCGGGCCGATAGGTCCGATCGGCCCGGGCGGGCCCTTCTCCCCTGGTGCGCCGACCTCGCCCGGAATCCCTTGTCTGCCCTCGTGCCCGGGAAGACCCTCGGCTCCTGACGGACCGGGTGGTCCCGGCGGTCCAGGTTCACCCGGCTCTCCCTGTTACGTCCCAAGAGCGTTACGTCGTTACGGCTTTTCTCTCCGGCGAGAGCCCTCGACACAAGAGTGTCTCTCGGTACTCGTCGGTTTGTGCCACGGACTGACGGGGGATCGACAAGGGGAAGAGAGAAGAAGGGGGGTTCAAAGAAGAAGGAGAGTCGTATATGTGGTGTACGATCTCTCGGGTGAGCATATGAGGAAGGTGGAACAGTAAAAAGAAGTAGATAGCGAGAGAACAAAAGATAGACAGAGCCAAAGAGATAAAGAGTGGGGTAGACGAAGTTAGTAAAGAGTCCAGAGAGAAAGACAGAGAAAAAGAAAGACAGACAGACAGAGAGAGACAGAGAGAGGGGGGGGAGTATGTGGACTGGCGGGTAGACGCAGGAAAAAGGATGAGAACTCGCGAAAGAATAGTGCATGGAAACGAGAAAGATCTCGGCGCGCGTGCGCGGGGGTACGAGGTTGCTCTTTTGCGCGGATTTATGGTTTCACGATGCGGCGAATAACAACAGCGAGCTACGGAATGATGAACTTTTTACCGTATTATCGTATTACTACTACGCGCCGCTTCGGCTACGGCGCGATAAGGCGAGCGAAGAGTTTTCGTTTAGCGCGGGAGAATTTTTCATTATCTCTCTCGTAAGAAGACGCCCAAAGATGCTCGAGGTGTAACCGGATCCCGCGAAGAAACACCTCCGTGATGGTTCTTAGGATCGTTTCTTTCTCCCATGGATACTTTCGCGCGATCGTTTTCGACGTAATGTAGAAAACTTTCCGACGTGCTGGGAGCCGTTAAAAGACGGTGTCCGTTGGACGGATCCGGAGCTAAAATCGCGGCACGATAAGTTCGAAGGCAATTTTGAAATATCTTTTAAGCGAACAAGTTTTATCTTTTCTTCGGCAGTTCCGCAGTTATTGGCACTTATTCCTCGAGTAAAGTAATTTAACGAAACAGAAAGAGCTAAAGGAAAAGTGAGAAAAGATAAGTTTTGATTATATTCTTAATTAGTTTTAAGTAATAGGATCTTTGTGAAAATGCTTAATTAATTCTCGTTTTTACACGTTTCATCATTATCGGAGAGAGAAAGCCAACAGCGGATTTCTTGTCGAGAAAATCTGACGAAAGCCGACGTATGTCAGAGAATTTGTCAATTTTATTTCTAAATTAAATATCTCGATAATAAAATCGTAAATATTTTTAAATTCCTATCGGCTTAAAATTCCGCTGAAATTATCCGAGGGATCAGAATTCTTTCTTTTTTTTTAATACTTGGCGCGGCCGCGTTATATAACGGTACGAAAAATATCGCTGTTAGTACGTGTCATATGCGGTCCGCTACGCGTGCTCTCGGGTCAAATATTAATTAGACCCTTCATCAAACGCATTCGGGACGATGAATGCCGCGGTTCGTCGAAGGCCCGGGCTATTGAAACAGCATTTTCCAGCGGCGATGAGACAGCCCGCCGTACACGAACGAGCAATTAATTTCTGTCACGACCGGAGAGAGACACATCAGCTGCCGAGCGCGACCACCCCCCCGAGAGCAACCACCCCCCCGGGAGCAAATGCGCGCGGAGAACACGTGTTTATATATGCGCTCGCGAGAGATGACGGCGGGGAAGACGATAGATGCACGATACGCGTCGCGATTCGACCACATCGAGCGCGCATACACATGCATGCAGTCGCGACGCATCCCCGACCGAATGATATGGCCGAGACAAATAACGATGAATCGTCGTTCGGTGCGTATAGCGGGACACCACATACACGCACAATATGGCCAGGCATACACAGAAATGTACGAGCAACGTTTAGAGAAGTCTACGACACGCGGCATGCATTGGGCCAGACGTATCTACACGCACGTACCAACACATATCCCGAGGGCGCAGGTGCCCCGTGGATGAAAACTCAACCGGAATGGCCCGACGAGGTGCGTTTTCGGAGATATACGCGGTCGTCGCGGGCATTTTGCGGGGGGGCAACATGTTTCATGGTTTTGGAACGAAAAAAACATAGAGAGAAGATAGAATAACTTCGGCGCAGCCTATTTTTTAATTTCTCTCCCGCATACGCCGAAACCGATGGGAGGCCTGAGGCACCGAGAGCCGTAATTAAACAGGTCTGAATATTCATGCAAATATGAGAACTCCGTCATATCGAAAGATGATTAAATTTTTCCATGTTGTTATAAAAGTGAATTAAAAATTTACATGTGAAATGATACGGCGTGCTATTAAATATTTTTAGAGAAATTCAGTTGCGTAAAATCCTTTTGTGTGTGTGTGTGTGTGTGTGTGTGTGTGTGTGTGTGTGCTTGATTCTAATATAATAAATATCATTTCTCGACGGACTACGCTAGTCGATACGACTAATTAAACTGGCGTAAAATATTTCTTTTAACTTCGCTTTCGCGGAATCTTCCGTGAAAAAGGGACAAGGGATGAAAAAACGACAAACTTCTCGCATCTCATGAATACTTACAATTAAACGTAACGAGGTTCTTTAACGGGATAATTAACTGCAGTTAGCGTTTCATTATTGAATCCTCGAACGTAGCTCTAGCTGTAACGTCGCTGGAGAAAGGGAATTTAGCTCATTATGGTTAACCGCCTCTCCCAATATTCCCGTGGTTGCGCTATATTGTCATTTATTATTTGTGTTACCCTTATGCATTACCACTGCCATTGTGTCAGGCGCTCGTGTATTTTCATGTAAATATATTACAACGCGCCTGTATCTTCAAAAGCATGTCTGTATCGATGCTCGCAATCGCGTCCCGTAATTCTCGAAATAGGTCAGGCGCGCTTCTCTTCCAGCAGCGCACCTGTCGAAGCAGCATCTTCGAAATGAGCTTTGTTATCTCCAAATCGACTCTCGGTGCAAATCGCCTCTGACATTTTTTATTCTTTTCCTTCGCCGCTACTCTTTTTTTAATAACGCCGCGTGATCCGATAATCGGGATATAATCGTCTCGCGAGTACATTTTGAATATTCGAGTTACGGTTGACCAACGCCCGCCGGAGGACCAGCAGTCACTCATTCATTCCCGACAGCTACATCAATACACCATCATCGTGCGATCATGCGACTGCGATACGATCACAGGCAAAGTCTACGGATACCACCTACGCGTTCTTTAAGTCGCCCGCGCATTCATCCAGCGGGTGGATGGACACACACGCGCGCACACCCGCATGCGTAGGTGGGTAGCGCACACACCGCGCATCGCACTACGCCACAGAGAGAAAACAGGATAGACTGCAGATGGTTACAAAATAGTATCATGCAACGCACGCACGCACGCGCCCCGTGTGTTGCGGAGGCGCGCGTGCGATTTTCGCATCGGCATGCGGGACGAATGCGGGGTGGGGTCGTGCATTTTTTACTCGCGCCTTATGTGCGCCAACGTAGCGCGGCACACCGTTGCCCCCTTTTTTTCCCTCCTCTTTTTTTTCCGCACGCGCGTTCCCGTCGCGCCGGGATTTTTTCGCGGCTACGCGACCACGTAATCCGCGCCTCTCTCGCGTAAAATTCCCTCTCTCGCGGAGGCGTTCGTGAATTTCGGGCGTTATTTTTTTTCCTCTATGGTTTTTTTTTAGTATTGACATCTTGCCTACGTGTCGTGTCGAATGTGAAACCCAATCATTATGAAGATTTAGTCGAAAAATATCGTTGATGATAATTTTGAATATTCTACCAAGTTAAACTCGAAAGTTTTGTCATTATCAGTATTTGTTTTATCAAAATCTTGTAATTCTAGTTTCACTTATTATTATTATTATAAATATCTCGTATGCATATAATGTTTCTATAAAAATAGATAATTTGATAATCGCAGATTGATCACAGACATCGTGTACAAAATTTCAAATAAAAGATCTTGAAAAAATTCTGAAAGATCTGAATTTCTTTTATCGTAAAATTTAAGTTGGAAATTCCTACGTTGGCGTAACCGAATAGCTGAAAATTCTTCGACTGTAAATTTGACTCTGAAAATTTCTACGTTGTAAAACTAATTCTAAAAATCTTTCTTCGGAATTTGATAAAGCGATGGGTCTCGAGCAACGACGGGGGCGATATCCCCTTTGAAACTCAAACGGCGCTCGTGGAAGCCGCCGCCGTTGTGTCAAGTCAAAGCACTAGCGCGGAGTGGATGTATGAAATGTGCGAGGAGAGGCCGGCCTCACCTCTTACTCTCTGAAAGAGTATAGGATATCCGCGCTGTTGGCACTCCACTACCGCGGCCGCCTCTTCGATCTTTCGAGAAATACGAATTCGACACCGAGACTGGCAGCCGAGAGAGGCTGTGTGTCTGCCTTTCGCGAGAGGATTTGCATTCGCCCGAGTGGTGGAAATACCGCGAGACGGCAAGACGGCGGCTTCCCTCCGCGGATTTTTCGAGTGGTCTTTCCTACGGCGTATCTCGGGACAATCGATTGCCGGGATGGTATACGAGGCGCGCGGTAACTTGTACACGACCCCCGTTAGAAGAGAGTAGAGTAGAGAGAAAGAGAGAGGGAGATGGGGGTATCGAAAGAATGGAGGTATCGAACCGTAAAGTAAAAGGGTACGTTGTAAGAGTCTAGCGAACCTCGCAAATGTTCGATATGGCGCGAGCACAGCGGGATGTGATTCGACCAGAGTTACACAACTGCTTCGAAACTTCCTTCCGCCGTGTTCGCGCCTCGTTTCGTTCCCTCTCGAACGAACGGTGCTCGGCACGAAGCCGCCGCGTCGTCGACCGCGACAAAATTCCGCCGTGCGATTAAGGGAGCGGACACAGACAGCGCGCGCTCGGTATCGGTTATCCGACCGATAAATAAATCCTCCCCGACAACTTCCGGTTGTCGCGACAGCGCGGGGCGAGAACTAAGTTTGCAATCTCGGCGAAAGGGAGAAATTAAATCGCCCCGGGATTCCTTCGAGGTGGGCAAACTTTTGCAACTTCTTTCCAGCGCGACAGCTCGTTTCAACGGCGCGTTTTCTACTTTCACCAGCGAATTTAGAATGATCCCGTGGTGTTTAAGTGTTCTCGAGAAAGTATGAATAAACAAAAGGTAAGTTTTAAAGATATTCAAATAATTCATTCATCTGCGGCACATTTCCTCCCGTTTTTTTTTTTCAATTTAAATATGTCCAAGTAACTTAAAAAATTTAACGTGTCTTGGAAATAACAGTTGCAACACGACGTTCACGTAAATAATAACGAGCGATTGACATATCTTAGATTTATAAAAATTTTAAAAATAAAATTTATCTTCTAAAAAAGCCAAATTGTACCGCAAAATTCGAATCGAGCACCATTCGTCGAGGGACCGACGAAAAGGGGAAGGAAATGGGGGAACTCCCGAAAAGCAGGCGCACTTACTTTCAGTGGTATGATGTTCTGCGCTGAGATATTAACCCCTTTCTCCTGAAGATCCTAAAAGTAGGTCAATACTACGGGTAAAAAACCAAATCGCTACAAGACAAAAACGGGGGGAGGGGGGAACGATTTTCGGTACCGGGCGGGAAGCGTATCGGGAAATTCATATCTTTTTTTTTATCAGGGGTTGAGTGGGGGAGGGTACGGGTTCTCGTATCTCACTGCTCTTCCGAATCCAAGGCATGCCCAGAGATATACCTAAATACTGTAACTTAAAGTAAACACCATTACCAACCAAAAACCAAAGTGAAAAAGTGCGTCGCCGTTGGCCGTTCGTTCAGCGGGCTCTCATTATCGTTCAATCACGACCAACAATAAATTATCTCGCATGATACATCGCAATTATTTTATCCTACGTATATGTCTTAAAGCAAATTCGGGGATCGACAGAGACAAGAGAGGCCCCGAATCGACGATGGAGCATCGACGACGCACTTCGTTTCATATAAACCAACGAGAGAACGCTACACCGAAAGCACCGCACGAGGCAAAACGACTAGCTAAATAACAACTGGACGACGAGAGATCCGGCCTGTCGCGCATCCGGGATGTAATATGCGACGACGCGCGGACACAAAAATAACTGACATACAGGTGGTAACAACAGGGGATGAACGGTGGGGAAAGTGGGGACAGCGGACGGGGGATGAAAAGAAGAAGAGAAGAAGCGACGACTACGGCAGTGTTGGACAATGACGAGATGACGGGTGAGAAACAGCGGGGAGAGACGATTGAGGGGATTGGAGGATGTCCGTCCGGATCGCGACACCGAGAAGCGTGTCGCGCCTTCCGAGGAGGAGGAGGCCGGTTTACCTTGAGGGCGACGATTTCCGCGTAGCCGAGCGTCCCGCCGCGGAGCGTCGTCACCGACCTCTTTAACCCCAATCCCTGTGCATTGACCCGTAGGCGAGAAAAAAGGCAAGGTTTATTTATTTACTCTCGTACTGCGATGTCGCGTCGCTGTTGGCTGTTGGCGATCGACGCGTCGAACGGGCGCGAACGAGCGCGAAACAGATTTTGCGTGAAATTCGTGAAATTTTTTCACGAACAGGCGCGGAGTCCACGTGCGGGAAAGAGACGCGACGAGACGCCAGAGATTGACGTGATTCTTCTTTTCTCGCGCCTGTCGTTCACACCGGCTAAGGCAATCACGCCGATTTTGCGCCCGCGCCGTCTGCATTTTGACGGATGGCGCGCGACGGAACGAACGTAGATTAGCGTGCGATAACTGATATGACGCGATTTTTTTCTCGAACGATGATCTTCATCCTGCCGTTATTTAACTCGAGAACGGACGCCTAAAGTAATTTTTACACCCCAGTATCGAAAAAATTAAGCTCACAGTAATTTTAATGCGCTTCTTTCATTTTTAAATATATTTTTCTTTCTTTTTACTTTTTTTTCCAGAAAATGTTGAGTAAACTTACTTACATATTGTCCTCAAATACTAATAAATTTTAGAACAATAAAAATACGATATGTAATTAATAACAATGACTTTTAATTGGAGTGTAAAAATCACTAGGTGACCATTTATGCAAAAAAGGGGCAAGCGTTCCCGGGTTAATTGGCAAATGTTTACACTGTGCGATCGAGCGCCGTGATACGATAAAACGATAAAAATCGTTTTCTTTCGTACAGCAAATGCATAAAATAAAGTATCACTTTCGACTAATTTAATTTACAGAACTTCTAAAATCATCTAATTATGTACTCAAAAATAAAATTAATTATCGCTTCCTAATGACTACTTTAATATCCAAAACCTGTATCTGTTGATTAATCTGGAATCAATTTTTGTCTTTAGGCAAAAACCTAGAAAAATATTAATAATCATCAAATTGTGATGATCTCTTTTCAGCCATCGTCAATCGTCTTCTGGGCTTCGTCGCACGCGGACTCCGCGTGTGATGTGCTCGTCGTCGCGCGGCAAACGCACACCGATCGATACACCGGGCGCGCTTGTTGCACGCTGGATCGAGAGAACACGGAGCTACGGTGATTTCGCCCTGGACACGAGCGTATGCATATGCATGTGCACGGACGAACGCGTCGTGCACGCATCGTCGTCCTCGCAATAAAATCAACGGACGGTCGCTCGATTTCCAGGGCGAAGCTGGCTTAGATTCTCGAACGCGAGACGAGACGACAGGAGGAAGTGCCCTCTTGTCGTATATATGACACTCGGTGAAAGAAATCGCGCGCGATCGACGACGCGCGCAAGTGCGCTCGAGCGGAATGAAGAAGCGTACTCCTCGACCTAATAAAAAGCGACAGGGGGAGTTAAATGAAGGTCTTTTATACGGGCGCGCGCGGAATCGCGCGGATTGCCGCGCGAAATGTTATTTCAGGTGCTTTGACGATTTTAACAAATCTCGCTTTCGCGCGAGAGCTGAGATTTAATTATCGCGGATAAACGCGGTGGGCGAATTAGGCCAGCCGGAGAGCCTCGGTTATATGATTTCCCAGAGGATTCGTATATAAAAGAGTCCTCGTTCCACTCCGGATCGTTCCAAAGGGAGCTTTCCCTGTGCGTGACACTAATTTCTTTGCATCGACTCGCTCCCGATACTTTGTGAAATTCCTCGGGCTGAAATATCACGAAATCCGCGTAATTTATTCGATTAACCGTCGGTCTTTTGACGCTTCACGGCGACGCGATCGAGAAGACGTTAATAACGTTCCCGCTCGAGTGCACTTTTACCACGTAAAATGAGATTTGCAGCTTTACGCGCGATGAAAATATCGTTTTATTTCTTCCGCCCGCGCACCCCCCTCCGCCATCCCTTCAGGATTTATCCCGTATTCTTCTCGCCTCTTTCTCTCTCTCCGCCCTGTGCGTCGGCCGCGCCGGTGATACACACGTCCCGTGATACACACGGGGCTTTACGAGATTGCTCTCTGAAGGACAGCGGAGGCTGTAAGGTGAGAAATGAGAGAGCGCGGGGGCACGCATTTTCGCGTTACGAGTGCGCCGGCGGATATTGCTTTATTCCGCGCCAGATAGCGTAGCTTAGATACCTTCACTGCGGACAAGACGTCGAATCCGGGGCTGCCCAGCTCGCCCTTCTGCCCTTTGTCACCGGGTCGGCCCTGCGAACAAAGGGATGCTGTGTATTACGTGCCATGGAGTAATAACGATGAAATGAACAAGTTTTTTTCCGAATGAGCGTCTCCTCTCTGTTATGTCATAACTGTACAGCGATCAAATATCTCACGGCTCTTGCTGAGCATTACCTCTCTAATTTGTAAACCAGCTAACTCCGAGAGAAAGTTGGAATTTTTTTTTCGAGATTTATACGCGATTCTGTGCAATATTTTAAAAGAATTTTATTATCTACTTTTTATCTTTTGATCTGCTAAATGTTAGAACGATGCGCCGGGATTTCGTTTTCATATCAACTTTGCGTATTGAATCATTATGAAAGCACTTTCAGCTTTAATTAAGAATTCTGGCGCTCTCGTTCCCTTTCAAAAATACCCAATAGCGTAGAGCTCAAAATGTCTGAACGGAGATTCCGCGATTATTAAGATTAAATTAAAGGAGATTTCCTTTTCCAAATAATTTGCGTTTCTAAAATCTACGAACAAGATGCGTGTACGAGTTCTCGCACTTTAATCTCGTTGCAATTATTCTTCATAATAACACACACGTAATTAGTTCTGAACTACTTTAATTTCACGCAACATAATTAGTCTTTAACTATTTCAACTTCACAAACATAATTACTTATATCGATGCAAAGTCGACAGATATAAATGCTCGCTATATAATTCATGCCAATAGATTAGAAAGCAACAAATTATACCTCTCATTATTCACCTCTGTAAGAAATAAAAAAAAATGGAATTATTAGACGAATTAGAAAACAATTAAAAAAAAGATAGGTAAATTTAAATCAAGTCGCATATTTTTTTATACTGTATAAAATGCAATAGGATCAGATTTAATCTACAAAGGTGCTGTACTGGAGAGGGGAGGAGAGTATTCGATCAAAAAAGCCTGAAGCATTCTATTTCACTCTGTACGCGGTTTATTCAGATCCATTTCTGCGTACTGTATCAATGCACGAGAACCACCATTATCGTGCGGCGTGCGTAACCTTCGCGACGTATCTCGACGAAGAGAACGCAGACCCGCATAAAATTTCGGACTCCGCAAACCTGCGGACACACCCGAGGGAGATTCAACGATTACGCGATTCAACGAGGGTTAAAATCGCGATTTAATATTTCGCCCGGGTACGTAGGTCGCGGCGCAGGCTAGCGCGGTTGTAAATTTCCAAGAAGATAAACCTGCGTGTGTTTGCGCGGCGGATCCTTGCCCCCGGAGTAGCGGAGTAGAGAGTAAACTCCGCGATCCCGAGGCAAATTGCGGAGTCACTGCTATACCGCTGTAACCCGCGCGCTATGACTATTTGCACGAAATCCGATATAAACGCCGGATTCGTTATTCGAATCTCGGAATACCCTTAGTACGGATCCGCGCGGGTATTGGTCGCCCGGCGCGACTGTGTACACACTCGTTTGCCACACTCGTTTAAAAAGAAAACGCCCGGGCCGGGCAAAGAGAGGAACGCGAGGGAAGGAGCCGATCGTGCGGGTCCTTTCTTCCCGGCCATCGACAGAACAAACAACTCGCGATATTTGCAATGCACTTATTGGTCTCTCCCTCTCTCTCCCTTCCTTCCTCTCTCTCTCTTTCAATCGCGCACGTACTCGGTCTTTTCTTCTCGGACACATTTCCTCGCTATCTGTTTGCTCTGTCGTTTGTACCTTACCGCCACCGAGATCCAGTCACGTCAGTATCCTACCACACAACACGGCTCCTCCATGTATACGAAACCATCGTCCGTGAATTCTTCGAAACGGATTGTTCTTTAATGAAAATTTTATCGGACACAATCTTTTTTCACAATCCTAGCACGCGGTGCCCCTGGTGACTGCGTGTCACAAATTATGACAATTCAATTAAAGTCCACTCGAGATCGAGCAAGAAATTACATTTTCTTATCTAGTCGCCCGCATCGCGAAAACACTTATTAGCGTGTCGTCAACCTTCTTAATTAATCACGTAGCGTCCGTAATTAAAGGAAATAGCAGTAATTCCGCGACATCCTGCGCGACATCAAACGTATACGCGACACACCGCCGAGCACGTGTGTGTACACGAATAGACAGAGGCTGCTCTCTATACGCCAAGGCAAACTAGGTGGCCGCAAAGGGCCACCGACGCGCATACAAGGGCCTGTCATGCGAAAAGACTTTGCGTGTCACGAGGACCTTGCATAACCGAGAGAGTCACGCATATATATATACGAGGATGTATGTGCGGAGATTATAATACAAGGACCGCGTCGTGTAACCAGCACGAGGAGCCTCGTGCAAGCATCTCTCGTGTGCCGGGATGGATCGTCGAAGTGAAACACGCAGACTATGGAACTTCTATATCCTATCCTAATACGCGAATTTAGTTAATAATAACGTATTCCGTTAGATGATGGTTCTCATCTTACCTCTCTCGAATATACAGATCTGGTTTCGTCGAAAGCGCAATAACGTATCGCATCCGCAATCGATTTGCGTGTGCAACGGCTAGACGGCTGTATAATAGGACGGCGAAATAAGGAATGATCAATCTATACTCGCGTCAATCCGATTTTCGTGTCTGCTTTTTCGAAGAGACACGTCGCCATTATCTATGTATAGACTGTTATACATTTATGGATAAGCGAAAGGCGAGTGACAAAGAACGGCCGTTTGCGTGTCGCGACTTTGCACACGTCTTACGTCCGTAGCGCGAAAAAAGGTGATGAACAGGTTCGAACGATGAATCGGATTGGAGTTAAAAAAAAATTGCATCTCGGAGAAAATATAACGATCGAGCGCAGACGAGTACCTAACTGCTTCCCAACGAACAGCGGAGTTAATAGAGTAAGTGAGTGCAAGTGAGTGAGCAAATCTTCAATTTAAAATCCGATTCATCTTCCAATCCTATTCGCGACCGCCGCCGCTACAACCGCGAATAAGGATATAGAGTTGTCTTAATAAATCACGATAACTCGAACTACGAAGTGCTGGCACGTTAAAAAAAAAAATACAATGTGAATTTGTATACCGGATGAATAAATCTAATAAATTACATTTATTTGCCGAGAGCTGAATAATTTGATTTATTAACCCTACAATAACGACGTTGTACAGCGCAATAACGGTAACGTCGCTCTTGCAACGTGTTTTGTTTCCTTTTATAACAAAGCTCTTCTCGCTGCGTAAATATATTCACAGGTAAGTGAAATTAACGGTAATCTTCTCCAATATTTTTTTTACTTGAAAAAGTTGCCTGTAGCTAAAAAGTCGACGTCTGTCTGTAAACCCGTAGATTATTACTGCAACTTTAAAATGCTTTATATTGTTTATCAATACGCGCTATGCATTGTATTGGAATTCTAGAGAATACTTTGTTTAACCAATTTTCAAACCATCAAAGCAACAATGAGACGATGATCCTCTCGATTAATCGTATTTTCGTAGTTCGTATCCGTATAAATGTCAGCACAAAATATCTGCATCAAATAATATTCTATTTGATTTTGAATTTCGATATGTTTTTATTCGCACTGCCTGCGTTTGATCCGTGCCCGTCAAAAACCGAGTCCGATAGCGAAATGCATGATATATATACCGAATGTATATATACATCACTTATATGATTGATCATCCTGCATTTTTGCGGCTAATTCGTTCAACATACGTCAGCTGCTCCGAACAAGAGACTCGAGAAAAAGTGTGCCAGAACAAGATGAGCCCGAAGCGATTGGTATATGAACGCGTTCCCGTTCGTGTAATCATAGATTGCGACTCGAATACTGATCGAGCTCTGTATCTCGAAATATCAAGACTAAATATCTTACTCCGATTTCTACTGAAATACGACCAGAAGTAGATCGGAAAAGTTTCATCTTTTAGGAACAGCTGCGTTTGACGGAAACTCAATATCAAAATTTTCGCTCTCCTTACCCTCTCTCTTTCTCTCTCATATCATTATCTTACGTCTGTCATTTCGAGCGTTCGATTTCATTGCTCTTTTGATCTTCTCCGACGACGTCCCTTCGTCACCGGGACGCGCGACTTCATAAAATAAAGTACTTATTTAACTAAATCGATTGGGAAGGAAGAGAGAGGTAGGCTATTTAAATAAACTGTCGCTCTCGTATTTGAGAACAGTACAGATGCTCTCAAAATGTCTTAAGTGACCTCGTTTCGCACCTGTGCAATTAGGACAGAAAATTTAGATAAGACATTTAAATTTATATCGTACTGATTAAAATATATACGAACAATCGTCAGTTATCGACAATTCAGTCAAGTAAAAAATTTCAAGGATATCATCTATATATTTAATCGCGAGCTGATTGTCTCGCAGTTTCTAGTGTTTGTTTTTGTACCGATCGACTTCGTGAAATTAAAATGTTTAAAATATCATAAATTTAATGCAGCCTGGACATATTTACGTGATCGCAATAAAAAGAGAAGAAATTATCGGATTTATTACGATGACACCTCGCACAGGTATAAATTTCGATAAAACAGGTTTCTCGCCGCACGAAATATATTATGATTAAAGCTCTCTCACGCCCATAACCATTATTCTATCAAATAATGTTATTCTCAGAACGTTAAGCGTTCGCGAAATAAAATATTGCCTCTCGCGTTTTTTTACGAAGCAATTAATTTCGCACGCTTCGTAGCGCCATGACGAAAATTAAAATGGTAAATTATGCGGCGAACTTACCGGATCACCTTTGGGCCCGTCCAAGCCGATAGGTCCCTGAAAGAACACCGCCAGTGAGTGCCAGTCGTCGCTCACGCGTCCGTAACGACGAACGAAGAAAAGTGAAAAATTGCGTGCGGGCCGAGCGAGCCCTTGGAAATATTCATTCCTTGTGTATGTAACATGTAATAAACACGGGCGAGCGCGACAAACCAGAACCGATGATGAGTCGTTATGCTTCCAGGCGCGACAAAAGTGCATTCGCATGATCCTGTCTGTGATAATGACGCGTACATTTGCGACGAAGCGAGGAATCGCGAGGAAGCGCTGTTAATAGAAATTTTATTCGGCACACGTGAATGTTTAATTTTGCGCAGCTTCGATCCTGACGGGGCAACTTTCCATATTTGATGCCGGGTCATATCTCGAAATTGGTGCGTTTCGCCGTGGCGCCAATTTATACGGAATTTCTTTCGATATCGTTGCTACCGTGATTAATCAGACTCGACAGATAAATGTCAGTTATTTCTGTATCTAATTTACATATTTTTGATTACGTGCAATTTAAATGAGAGGAAACGCACAACATTCTTTATCAATTAACCGAATTTTATAAATTGTGTATATTCAATATTGTAAAAGATCAATTTCCCGCAAGAGAATTTGACTTTCCGACGCGATCTAAATTTTATTAAAACGAACATTTCTCTCTCGCAAAGTACTTCTCGAGATATTCATTTCGTCCACGGATAGATTGATCTCCATTCGGCAATTACCAGCTTCGTCGAAATGATAACTTGATACTTAGTAAGTCGGAAACGTTGATAGTCGGCTCAAAATTGCCAGCAATTAAAACGAGGAGTGATACTCGAAGCGAAGAATGCAATTAACCCGGTTCCTCGACGCGTATAACAGTTGCACCTTCAGTCGTCAAAGCGACGCGCGCGATACAATGATGGAAGCGAGAATGCTGAAGTCCGATTTCGTGCTTCGATCGCGCGTACGAATCGCGCTGATGCACGATACAAAAAAAAAGAGAATAAAAAATCCAGATGAGTAGCTTACAATCGAGAGCCGGAAGAGAATTCAGATCGAGAGACAGCTCGCGGATAAAGAAGCGGGTCAAACGAGCAAAAATCGCACATCAGCGGGCTACATGATACGCATTAATGGCACTTAATGACTGTTATGTTCGATGGACATAGTGTGGTGAGAGTCCGTGGTGTTCGAGAGACAGAGTGACAGCGAGAAAGAGACAGGCAGAGAAACACGGAGAGACGAATGCAAATGTGGAGGATATGAGACAGACATAGGCGTACACAGACAGAGATAGAAGCGAGAAGGAGTGTACTTCAGAAAGAAAATAAAAAATAATATACCGGAAAACCGTTCTTGCCCGGCGTCCCGGCCACACCCTGTAAGAAGGGGTATAAAAAATTAAAAACTCGTTTACACGAGAAGGCAGGAGAGGGAGAGAGGTGGGGGGATTTACTCAGGGTACTCTCTCGCGCGCATGCAAAAGCGATTATTTCGCGGGCCGGCCGATCGTGCCCGCGATATTATCGGCCCCAGTCCCGTATGCATACATATATACGTGTATGTGTATACGATCCCGGCTGTAAGGATCCGTATACACTGCCGCCCGCCGATAATTATTCCGGCCAATTAGATATTCCACGGGCGTATAAGCACGCGCGCACGCACACTAGTTGATGCCGATCCGTTCCCTCCCCGTTCTCCCGGTGTTCCGCCAATCCGATCTTTGATTACGCGACGATGCGCTCGCTCGATCGGCAATCGCGAGGGAAATCCGATCGCGCGCCTCTGGAACACCCACGATGCTGCGCAGCCGAAGAGAGAACCTGCTCGTCGCGACGGGCGAACAAAATTTCGACGTCGATGATTAAGTTCGATAGATAACGATCCGGGGCTCTTTAAATCCATTATTTCTTATAATTTTGAAATTCAATTCGGCGGACGATACGTCGGGAAATAAAAAAATAAACACAAGATTTGACAATAAATCAAATTTAAAGGAGAGAATAATAGCCCTTGAGTTTTGTATTAGGGTCGAAAATGTGAATAAGTTGTTGTATGTAACGTATAACTTTGCAACACACTAATTAATTACTCCTTGACATAATGTAAGTTGGTATCGCGCGAGTGAGATTAATTTGTTTCTCCACAACGTTATGTTGTAACTTCAGCATTTTAATCGCCGAGTCATCCGGCATCGATATTTCTTTATAAGATGCAACTGGCAGGGAAGTGCCAATTAAATACCAAATAAGCTCTTTCTGCAACTGGAATGTAGCTTTATTTTTGATCCGGCGTAATTACGCGAGAAAGTTTTCGATAATCCTCGTGTTGAATTAAAGACACGGCCCGCAGGAGCAGTCTAACAAACTTCTACTTTTCCTTAATAGGAGGAAGAAAAATTGATTTCCCTTGAAGTTTATAGCGTACACCATGATTAATACACGGTCGCTCTCAGCTCGTTTCTTTAAAACTTTATAGTTTTGGACCGCCTTCGCGGGAGTGTGACTTCAATTCTCCTTGTACCGGTCACGCGTGTGCGCGAGTCTCGCAAAAAAAAAGCGCGTACTGCTTACATTAGTCACCGCTCAGTGTACTTAGTCTCGAGTCCAGAAAAGGGGGACAGGGGGAGTAATATAACGCGTACCGTTAACTACTACTTCATGCATGGAGCTGCTGCACTCCCTAATAAACACACTCGCGCGCACACACACAACTGCACGTGCGATGTATCAGTGCACTAATACCGGATATGTATATATATATGTGTATATATACGGCGTGCTCTTCGCACGATACCGAAGCATCAGCACGAAGGTACTCACCGGCGCACCGGGCTCCCCGGGATCGCCCTTCTTCCCTTTCTTGCCCCTCTTTCCGGGTGGACCCGGCTCACCGGGTGGACCTGAAACACGAACAATGAAACTATGAAGTCGAGACGAACTATATATAATACCTGAAATACTTTCCATTCTCTTTTAGCAGTAGAATGGCAAGTGTGCAGTTTCGATTTTCTTGTTGTCGAACAAGAAAAATGTATAAAATGTATACTAGGGATAGATATTTCAACTTGTCTCACATTGCAGCTACGTTAAAGAACCGAGCTTGTTTAAGTCTTTAAACAAGTCGTTTGGCTGCGCGATTTAAGCAAGCTATCCATCTCGCATGTTTCACGCTTCAAAGTGTATGTACAAAGTGTACAAAAATTTCCTGGTATTCGAAACTGCAATTATTCGCTCTCTACGTGACATTTTAAATCTGCACAGCTGAGTGCAGTTTCAAATGTTTCATTTTTAGATAAAAGTACCGTTGTTACAAAATCCTAGTCGCAGCCGCTGTTTCAGCTGTACGAGAATGAGACGATCTTCAGCGAAATAAGAATGTCTATTGAAGTTCACGAGAAAGAATTTTTATCCTATGACCAATCGCTTGAGAATAAAATCACCACGGACACACCCTATACAGCCCGAGAGTATTACAGCTAACGAAGTGTTACCATCGCGATGAAAATGAGTTTTCGGGATTGCGCCCGCGGATAAACTTCGGCGATATAAGCTATATAGGGTGCCAGGATACCGTTCAATATCTTGTTTAGATATTTATATAGGGATAAATTCGAAATGGCAGACTCTATAATTATTGTCATATATGGCTCTCGTAGCTTTCCAACTATTAATATCGCAATTTATTTATGTCCTGTCTCTCCCCGTTCAGTTCCACTCACTACTCGTCTATTTCGAGGCGCTGCAACATTCGGATTTGCAACTTTAAGTAGTTTCGTAATCATACGTAACTCGACGTTCGGACAAATCTATCATTATCCTAACTTCATTCCCGCGGTTGCGTGATGAAAGGGCATCCGGTAACGGCGGACCACCCCGTAGCGCGCGAATGCCGGCGGGTTCGAAGTGAATGGGCGAAAAGACCGATAGATTTGACGCGTAATGAAATTACATCGTCGTACTCGTCCGTAGGATTTCCGAAAATCGAGGGGAACGAATGCGCGGCAATGCAGGCGAAAATCTGATCGACCAGGCTCCGCGGCATGAAACGTAACGGGACTAATTCTTTTATTTGACATTTGATTTTGTTTCATTTTATTTGACATGGCTCCGGCCAGTGGACGTTTACGTACGTGTATGTATCCCCTTTTCGGCTTCATTACTTGGAAAAACGAAAAATCCGCGCTCGGCAGGTTTCGACGAGCTCAACGAATGGAAATATATTGTACAACGCTATATGTTCCAACGTGGTTCGACTCGTCGTGATTAAACAATATCATTCTAAAAAAGGGAAAACTGTATTTACACGATTTCCTATTCCAAAGCATGAAACACTTTTAATGAATTGTTATATAAGCGGACTAGCCCGCGCAGTTTCACGAAATAAAAGATAATTTTTTCACAGTAGATTGTAACACATTCGAAAATAAAATAACCAACAAAGCATTTAGACAAAATTTACTGCATCCTTTGATTTATGGGAAAGCTATAACCATGATTCGTGACTCATTAAGTGCTTCGCATTTCTGACAGAAACTGCACGTTTTTTTTTTAGCAACCAAATTGAAAATTGTTACAAATTATAGCAAATGGGCATAGCACAGACATGCATTTCCACGATGATACGAACGCTGCGCCTGAGGGTGGGATGCTGCTGCAAGTCGTCTCTTGTCGTTCGCGTTATTCTAATTTCCGGCAGGGACTTGCCTGACATTCAGGGTCGGGGAACCCTCTCTCTACCCTCCCTCCCCCTTCTCTCTTTTGGGGAACAATTCGATCGTGATTTATTCCCGGGGCTGCTGGCCGCTCGGACAAAGGCGTGACGAGCGGTTCTCCTTTTATTTTCCATTTATCGCCACCGGCAAACATCGCGCAGGGGATGATGTCATATCCTCCGAAGAGGGAACGAGGGGAAGCCGCGAACTGAAGTCGCCCACGGGGACGAAGCGCATCACGTCACAGTGGATAGTAACTCGGGCAGATTTTTTTACAATTAAAGAGCTTGGGGCGGTAACGCGCGAAACTGCGCGAGGGAAAAGTTGTGCGGAAACTTTTTTTTTTTTGTAGAAAGTGGCAAACCGTCAGCTGACGTCTGATATCAGCTGACAGCTTTTGTTTACGTAGCCTGCTAACGATTCATTTATACAGATTTCATCTGCGGATTTTGAATAATTCGTACTTGATTTTTCTCAAATAAAAAAAAAATATATATATATATATATATAAAATAAAAAAAAGATATAAGCAATTGGAAATCTAGATTTATCCAATATTTTAAATTTTAGAATAGATATTATTATTCAATTTGAAATGGACTACATTTCAAAAAAAAATTTTTACCTAGAGAGAATTATTTGAATTTTAGAAGAGAAAGAACTTCGTAATTTCAATATCACATAATATCGATTTTATTTAAAACTTTTCACGAGAGGAGCAACGTTTATATCGCAGCGGTATAAATACGAATGAATAAACGAATGAATAATTAACTGATTACATATCATAAAACTGATCGATATTATGAATTAATTAATATTGATAAGAGTTTTATTTAGCTGTCCATTATTAAATTGACAAAGTACGATTAGAGAGTTGCCGCACAATCGGTTGTTTGGCCGCGAAAATTGGTCGGAACCCAACTCCCAGGTCCCTCTCGAGGGGTGGATATGAGAGCATACTCCATTTAGTAGACACGAAACTGTCAGTACGATCGTTCGTAGCGTTCCACAGCAATTCTGGATAATCTGCTCTGACGGTTACACCTCGGCCGTAATCCACGACGTGTGTAGAAATAACGACGTACGTGCCGATCGCGCGTATTTCTCGACGGCATGGCAGCTGGCGGACGCGTATAGACGTGTATACGTCTACGCGTCTCGAGAGAGCGCACCGGTTTGTATCTCGGTATCTCCGAGAATAAAAAGTCAGAGAAGGCAGATGGCATAATCCCGCCATCACACGTCGAGAAGCATGGCCCTTTCGAGGATTACGCGACGGGAAAGGCGACTGGAATATGCGCTGCGGCTACTGGATATCCGACAGACAGCTCTATCAAAATTATATAAGTGAAGCGCGGTGCGCGCAACTTTTAAATCCGACACGGATTTGCAGGGATGTAAGCTCGCGAAAGACGCAAGCTAAATGAATCAACGCGAACGAGTTATTTAATATTCGAATAATATACGACATATATGTTCTAATAATTATCAAAAAATTTATAATTTATACAAAATGTAATAATTTCATACAAAAAAATATTATAATTTCAAAGTTGCACATAGGAAAATGTTTAAGTAAGGAAAGTGTCTTCTAGCTTTTTTTTATATCTATATTACAGTCTTTAGTTTAGAGTTCTTCGTGACTCGGATAAACTCATATTAATGAATATATGAAACGATAAAAATACACTGTTCTACTTTGAAAAATTGGCACGTCACTCTCGTCGAACTCGACGATTCGCTTTTTGCAACGTAACACGATATCCAGTTCCCGCAGCGGTACCGTACGCGATAAGAAACGACGAGTGCGAGTTCGGTAATGCTCCGGTATGGGGAAGAAGAAGTGGAGGCAGGCGCGAACGGAACGAAGAAGCCGACGACGGCGAAGCAACGATCGATCGATGTCGATCAGTATCAAGATAAAAAAGAGGTGACTCCCCCCTCGCTCGTCCCGGCTGCGCCCGCTATTCTCTCGGCGCGGCGCGGCAAGTTTTCGCCACCCCGCGGTTCTCATCAGACCGCGCAGATGACGGGTGCCGCCGCCTCGCCTCCTCGAATACTTGTACTTGTCGCGAATACCCGGGGTATAACGAGGAAAGTTTGCGACGGCGGACATCGTTGATCGTTGCCGCTCTCTCTCTCTCGCGGCTCGGCAAGAAGCGACTAAAACGAACTTTGCGAGCCGCAACGCGGCCGTCATGTCGAGCGGATTGCGATATGTCGAGCAAATACATGAAAGGGAGGAGAATGACAGCTGTCGCAGGATTAAAGAAAACTTTGGAATACATTTATTTTTGTAAACGGAATAAATCATTCGCGTTGCCTTTCGTAGGTTTCGGAACCAGTAAATTTTCGTTTTATGGAAGCAAGATTCAAGCATACAACGTCTATTAAAACCTTCATTTAAATTTAATTATTAATATTTATTAATTGCAATTTATGTAAGATATTTAATTATAAAAATATTTAATTTAATTAGAAATTAATTAGAAAAATTCAGCTAATACGTTATAATAAACAATGACATATTTTAAAGCTTTCATTGAAGTAAATTGAATAAAATTCCATAAATAGTTTGTCATTTAAAAGGATATGCAGAATAAGGTTGTACACTTCAGGAATCTCTTTTAGGATATTAAAAACCTAAATTCGATGTATACTTATTTAAAAAAAAATGTCATTTTTAATTTTAATATTATTTTTTTCATGTCTTATTTTTTCACGTTAACTAGCTATATATTTATTCTATAGTGCGCGACACGCAGTAACACATACCTTTCTTTATAAAAACACAGCTGAATTGCAGTACGTTCACATCAGAACATTCAACAATTTCCTGCTCCAATCGACTCGTAAAATGCACCGTTCGCGCTTGTTCATTTCGCCCACCGGGATAGTTCGCATACGTGCGATTCCAGCGACATAGCGGCCCAATTGCTCGGTAATTCGGTGTGTGTCTTCATCTTTTCACGAATGTACCGTACGAAGGTGCGAGATGAGGCGAAGCGAGGCGAGACAAAAGGAGCGCGCGCGCGTCGCGCCGAGAACGAGACAAAGAGAAAATGACGAAGAAACACGCGCGGGAAATAACCGCGTAGTCTAGACACGACTGAAATACTTCGGGACGGCGATGTGCAACACACGCCGGAACAGGGAGAGAAACTTTCATCTTTCGCTCCCGCGGG